TCAATAAACTCTGGTGGCTCGTGGATCAAATATTAAATCTGCTTTACAACCCTACCTACTTTCTACTTTTCTAGTCTTTTTACACCTTACACCCTCCTTGATGTCGTGGTTCTCTTCAATAGGAAGGACAAACAACAGCATATTATGAATCCCAGGACATTGGCATTCCTCATACAAAACAATCTATCTCCAGACTCTGGAAATTTTCACTGGCTATTCACCATCCCTCAAATACTGTCCTTCCTTATTTCCATCTCCTTGATTCCCTTGATTCCTTCTAGTCCCAGGTGTATTCCTATCTCCTACAAGAAGCCATTTCTGAACTCCCTTAATGCTAATTCCTTCCCTCTGCTGATGATCTCCTTTATCCAATTCTTATAGTTTTATTTTCATGTTGTGTTCCCATTAGACTGTGAGCTCCTTGTGAGCAGGGGCTGTCTTTTGTCTTTCTTTTTATCTTCAGCACTTAGTACAGTGTCTGACATATGTTAAATGCTTGTTGACTGAATGACTGAATGATAAAACCCAAGGTCATTGGTAAGAAGAAACTCATATTTATAGCAGCATTTTTTACACTAAAGAATTGGAAATAAAGAAAATGCCCATCAATTAAGGAATGGCCAAACAAATTACAGTATACATGAATATAATGGAATATTACTATGCTATAGGGAATTATGAATATAATGAATACAGAGAAACAGGGAAAGTTTTATTCAGTATGATGCAGAGTGAAAGACAGCCAAGAGAACCATGCCACAATGACTAGAATGATATAAACAGAAAGAAACCCACAAAACCATCAAAACTGAATGTTGCAAAATTACAAACATGATGTCAACAAAAACATGACACTTCCAGCCTACTCTTCTGTAGAGGTGAGATGTCCATATGTATGTTTTATTGCACATATCCTCATACTTTTCAAAGTTTTTTATCAGTTTTGCTTGTTTTTTTTCTTAAAAATATCTGTTATATGGGATGGCTTTGTGCAAGGGAGTAGAGGGAAGAATACTAGCAGAATATTTTTATGATGTAAAAAAAAATTTAAGCTTTTACATTCTTCTCTTTCACCCTCTTCAAGAGGCTTAATTCTTTACTTTCTGCCTTTAATTATTTTCTATTTTTAAATTCAATTTTATTTTATTTTTAGATCCATATTATCTTCCTCCCACCTCTTCCTCTACCATTCCCCCCACACCATTGAGAAGCAAGAAAAAAAACACATTACATAGTCAAATAAAACAAATTCCAACATTGGTCATGTTCCCCAAAAAATATATCTCTCAATCTGCATTCTGAGCCCATCACCTCTCTCTCAAGGTGGGTAGTATGCTTCATCTTGAGTCCTCTGGAATTGTGGTTGATCAGAGATTCTAAGTCTTTCAAAGTTGTTTATCTTTATATTGTTGGTATTGTATAAATTGTTCTGTTTCTGCTCACTTCACTTTGTATCTGTTCATATATATCTTCCCAAGTTTCTTACCTTTCGAAATTTCTTATAGCAACACCATTATGTTCACATACTAGAACTTGTTTGGCCATTTCCCAATTAACACCCCTTAATTTCCCATTATTTGCCACCACAAAAAGATATTTTTGTACAGATAGGTCCTCTTCCTCTTTCTTAAATCTCTTTGGAGTGTAGACCTAGTAGCAGTATTGCTGGGTTAATAGCTTTTGGGGTATAATTCCAGATTGCTTTCCAGAATGGCTGGACCAGTTCACAGTTCCATTAACAGTCCATTAATGTACCTATTTTCTGACATCCCCTCCAGTATTTGTCATTTTCTGTTCTTGTCAACTCTGCCAACCTGATGGGTATGAAATGGTAACTCAGAGTTTTACATTTCTCAATTTGTAATTTAGAACATTTTTCATATAACTATTTGATAGCTTGGATTCCTTCCTCTGAAAACCAATTGTATTCTTTGATAATTTATTATTTGGCTCTTATTCTTATAAATTTGAATCAGTTCCCCATATATTTTAGAAATGAGGCCTCAATCAGAGAAACTTGCTGCAAAATCTTCTCCCATTTCCTGCTTCTCTTCCAATTCTAGCTGAATTGATTTAGCTTGTGAACAAACTTTTAAATTTTATGTAATTAAAATTGTCCATTGTATCTCCTGTCAACCTTAATATTTCTCGTTTGGTCATGAATTCTTCCCATCTCCATAGGTCTGACAGGTTAAGTTCTTCCATGCACCTCTAATTTGTTTATTAGGTCACTCATTACGTCTAAATCATATACCTATTTGGAACTTGTCTTGGTATATAGTGTGAGATAATTGGTTTTTACCTAGTTTCTTCCAGACTGTTTTCCAAATTTCCCAGCAATTTTGGTCAAATAGTGAACTCTTGCTCCAACCACTTATGATGGTGGTATTCCAAGGCTCTCCCCTGGGTCCTCTTTGCCCCTCCTTATATATTATTTCAGCTGATGATCTCATCAACTACTATGGATTCAATTATTACCTATGCTGATAATTTCAAGTTATTACCCTTCCCTCTTCACTTTCTCTTAACTATCCCCTCTTCAAGCTTAATTATTTTGCTTCAGACTAATCCCTTCATGAACCTATCCTCCTTATTCTATTCCCCCTTCCCTTTCCCTGTTCTTATTCATATCTGTATCCCTGTTGAGTAAAATGCATTTCTATACCAAATTCTTTGTGTGTGTTCTGCTCTCTTTTGACCAATTTACATGAAGTTCAAGTGATGTCACTCTTCCCATGTTTGCTTAAAGGTCTACTTGCACAATCTAAATATATCTTAACATGTTCTATCATCTTTCCCTCCATTTTTCTTTAATGTATTCTCCCCCTCTCTTTTTTATACCTTCAAAACATAAGAACACTAGTTATAGGTCATCTGTCTCAACTATCACCTCTGACCCCTTTTGACATAAGGATTCTAAAAGAAATCTTTTAATATTCTCTCCTCTCCATTAGAATATAAACTGTTCCTCCTTATAAAGTCCCTTCTGATTGTTTATTTGTAGATACCTTTTTGGTTTTCTTTTTAACTTCCATATTTATATTTCAAAGTTCCTTTTCAGCTTTTTTTTTTCCATCAGGAATATTTGGAAATCTTTTATTTCATTTCAAGATTCATTTTTTCCCTTTACAGTATTATGGCCAATTTTGCCAGTAAGTTATTCTTGGATGTAAACCTTTGTCTTTTGCCTTTTAGAGTATCTGACTCCATGTTCTCCAGTCCTTTAAAAGTGATGGCTAAGTCTTATGTAATCCTTATTATGGTTCCTGGATACTTGAATTCTTTCTGGCAGATTGAAGTAATTTTTCTTTTGTCTGGAAGATCTGGATTTCTCAATGACTTACCTGGAAGTTTTCATTTTGGATTGACTGGTATTTACTATACCTGGTAATTTTATTTAATGATTTCTTGAAATATGACATCTAGATTCTCCTTTTTGGTCATAGATTTCAGGGTCTGTGGTTCTTGTTACTTTTCTTTCATTTGTTTTCCCAGTCTGTTGTGTCTCTTTCTTTTGACTTTAAGAATTCTTGTTGTCTCCTGGAGACATAAATTTTCACCTGGTCCCTTTTGATTTTTAGGTAGTTTGTTAGAAGATAAGGTTTTATGCCTCTTCTCTTAAGCTGTTGATCATTTTTTCTCCAATTCACTCCTCCCTACTCTTATTTCTATTACATATGTTTAAAGCTCTAGCATCATTTATTTCTTTGAACAATTCTAATTGTTGTGTGCTAAATTTTTTTCTTCGAAGTTTTTTATTGTAAGTGTTCTTAAGTTAGTCTCCTCTTCTGGATTTGTGCCTTGGTCATGCCTAGCATCATAACAGTATTTTTTTTTAATTTTTGTTGCTGAGGTCCCAGGGTGTTGAGATCTAAGTCTTCCATACTCTGGAGATCAAATCAAGTTTAAGAGCTTTCCTTTACATTGGTGGTCTTTAGGCCTTTTCCTTCACAATGAATACCTAAATTCTCCTCTCCTGAAATCAGCCTTAGTTGAAGTCCATTCCTTTGGATGAGGAAAGTGTGAAAGGAGAGAATTTTTCTTTAATCCTTTTAAATCTGAGGATGCCCTCTGGTGAGAGTCTTAGTTGAGGCCTTTTCCTTGAGAAGGAAGAAAGGTGTTAAGGTTTTTTTCTTCCACAGTCTTTTTTATTTTTTAATCAACTGTTAGCCTGACCAATCTTTTATTCCTTTAAACTTTTGCTTAGTGTGTAGGGTTTTGGATTTTGTTTTGTTGTTGTTTGTTTATTTGAATCCTTAGCCCCATAGTCTACCACAGTTTTACTTTAGTCCCTTACGGCATTTTTTCATGCTAAGGCAGTATTGATGTTTTTTTTCTTAAATCAACTCTCAGCCTAAGCTGAGGCTTATTTTTCCTTTCAGAGAGATGGTTTCTCCCCACCCCACAAACACACTTAGTGGGTACTTAAAAAAAACAACAACAGCACTTTTGTTGCAAAGTCAGTTTCAAATTTCAATGGATTCAGCACCGTATGTTAAAAAGCAATAATAGTACTGTATACTACTCTAACCACTAAATTACAGAACCAGGGTTAAAAAGGGGAAATGAAAGGGAATAATGAATTGAACAATATTGTTACAATAAAAGAGAGAGAGAAAAAGAGAGGAGATCATGAGAATGGGCAATTCTCAGAAAATGCCTATCTTGAAAGGTGAGAAATAAAGGTTAAATATTCAGAAAACTGATAAAATGATATTCATACCTATGTGAAGTTTGAGAAAAGCTAAGAAAGTTTGATTTTTTAATTGCATAAAGATATAAAGATTTTCTACACTAGAAAGCAAAAGCTCAGTAATTAAAAGACAATACAGTGGGGAAAGGTATTTCCAGAAAAATATTGGATAAAGTCCTCAAATTCAGATTTACTAAAGAACAGCTATCGTACTAAGAGTAACATCACATACTTACCAACAGAGCAAGTATCAAAGAGTATGAGAAGGCAGTTATTAAAGGAAATAGCCAGAGATAGGCAAATAAGACAATCTTAAAATATCGCTTTATTTTCATTAGAACATCAAAAATATGATCAATTATTATAAAATTCAAATGTAAAGGCTGTGGGGAAATAGATCCTTTATTAAATCATTGATGAGATTGCAGACTTTTATACACTTAGTGAATACTATGGGAATATATGAGTCACAACACTGATCATACATTTCAATTCAACATCTCCATTATGAGGGCACTATCCCAAAACTAATAAGAAGGAAAAAAGTCCCTTCCTATACCACAATATTGAGACCTCCTGATGATATATTAACGTAATATAATTATATCATCATTAGTGAGAAATATGAAAAAGCTTATACAAATGATACAATGCCATGAGCAGCAAAACAAGAATTATGTAGGCATAAATGCAGCCCCATCTACATATATCATATAACATGTATGTGTGAAATACATATGAACTCTAATAGATAGCAAGGTCCCTCAAATGCTCCTGTTTTTATCATATCAAGTTTCAGAACAATCTAGACTTCTAAATGAGACACATAATCCCACAAGATTTTGGTCTAGCTATCCAAATGGGAAAACTAAGCGGACAAAGAATATTTTCCAGGCTGTGATATAAAATTAGATAGACAACCACCTAGGACAGACATTGCAAATAGACTATCAATGAGATACCAAACTGGAATATAAAGTTAAAAATAGCACTTCAGAAATTCCTGAAAGGGTATAAGAACAACAAAAACATCATTTAATTTATGTTGTTTGTTAATTTGTATGGTTTCATTTTTACAAATACTAAGGATTTATATTTATAATACCAATATTAAGATTTTATACTTATTTTAAATTTTGATTAGTATTAAGTTTATAATTTTTAAATGGAAAAAAAAATCAGGGCTCAGTGGATAGTAGCCAATAATCCATTTGTAGGACTTCTCACATAGAATTATAGTATTCAGAGGGAGCTCATATAGATCATACCCACTTAGCCAGACCCATAGCCACCACCCAGGAATCAGTGTATATGATATTATCTGACTTCAGGGATCTTTCACCTGCCAACCATGCTACCTCCAGTTCAGCCCATAATGACTTATCAGGATGCCCATTCCCTAGGGCCAGTGAAATCCAGTTGTATGTGCCTTGCTTTTAGGAAGGACTAGCCATAGGTAAAATAGGCAAAATAATTGCTCGGGAGCTAGATCCACAGAAGTGGGGGCCCTGTAGATTTGCTCTCAAGGATCCAGAGGCCACAACCTGTTTCTGAAGTGCACTTACATGGGACCTATACAAGAGCAATTTTCAATATACCATTCTGGTTTAATAATAGGAGCTTTCTATGCTTTATCCATCTTGTAAGAAGGGCTTTTTAACAACACACAACTCAAGATAACACAATCTACGAATAGAGTGATGATATTACTCTGAGCACCTATTCAGTAGCAACTCAAGTCCAGGCAGGCAACTTTTCAAAAGTGGTGTAAAAAATGGATACTTTGGGGAGCTTTCATATATTCTCATCACCAAAAAGTTGTCTGCTAAAGCTCACTTAACCAGGTCTTTAAGAACAGGGACTTCCAAAAGCATGGGTACCCACCGGATCCTAAGAGTCTAGGGAAGAGACTGCTGTATAGGCTGCTTCAGTCTTTCAGGGCAGAAGTTTGGTCTGGGTCCCATTTGAAAGAGGTGAGCTTGCAGATAACTCAGTAAAGGGAGAACATCAGGGTAGAGGCTGGGGGAAGTCCTCAAGAACCCAATAAGCCAGCTTATTATTGATAGCAAGCTAAATGTCTTAATGTTTAAAGAGCACTTTACATATTTCCATTTGATTCCGCTGAACCAAGTCTTTACTAATATAACCCATTAATTATACTGGGTTCTGAAACATATCACTGAAATCTATTATATGGAATAAAACTTACATAATAAAAATACTGGGGTTGGAAATATAATTCCTCTATACTGCCCAACACTTTCCCCTCATATGGGCTACTATCTGATGTAGGTTCTCATCCAGCTTGGTCAATTATATGTCATCAGTTCAGTAGTGGATATCAATGCCCTCAGGTAGGGAAGCCTCTTTCAAGTCTCTGCCCACCAGAATGCTGTCATATGAAGGAGAGTTCAGAAAGTTCTAGAGAAGCATGGTGAAGACATACTGGACTCCTTCACAAGTGAAAACTGACTGCTCTTGAGTAGTGTCAGCAACGGAAGAGAAAAAGTGTTGGGGAGGTTGATAATCCTATACCATTCCTTCTGGACCTAGGATGCCTGGCCTATCACACTGGCAGGTCAGGAAGTTACAGTGAGATGTACATGACAATTTTGTTTAGCTCCCTATTGTCCACTGCAAACCACCAGGTGCCATCTACCTTCCTCATGAGTTATATAGGGGTTATGGTAAAGCAAAGTCATCTAGCTTTCTTCATCTCCACCATTAGATAGGAACATTTTCACTACTCTCTCTCTGCCCCACCCTTCAGTGAAGGGGGACAATATTTGTGTTAATGACCTGAGATGCTAGGGTGTAACTGCAAGTTTCACTATTTCTATTTGGCCCTACCCATGATAACCAAAAGAGCCAGTACAGATACTGCTTCCCAAGAACTTGATATCTCTTCCTTTGATGGTCTAAGAGTGGAAACTGGGATGACCTGTGGGCCTTCCTTTGTATGAGTAATGTGGTTGCCACTGTCCAACAGGCCCTTGTATCCAAATGGATTGGGGGCTTTAAGAGATTCATCAGGTTCAGATGGGGTTAAAGGGCCTTAACTGCCCCTCTGTTATATTTCCTGTTACAGTTGTACTAGTATCCCCAGAGGCTGACACTCATCTGTTTTCTTATCAGCTCTTTCAGGAACCGCACTCAAAGATCTGAAAGAGAGAATATCACCTGTCACACTCTACCTACCTAGTGAAAAGAAGGGCTTTGTGCCTTCTTCCCCATTCTAAAAGCACCTATTTGCAATGACAGTATTTATGTGTCCTGGCCATTTTCCTGATGTTCCAGTGAAATTTTTTCTACTGATCTCCATCTTCCTTAATGACTGTGGGGAGGGAGACCTACAGCTAAAGCATAATATCGCTTGGATGGAAAATACACCCACTTAAAGGTAGGATCTAATTGCCGCAACTCCTGATCATACAGCATGGCAAGTTAATGGAAAGGGGCACATAGATCCAATTTACCACACCCCTTTCATTTAGGACCTCCCCCTACTTTCCCCACAATATGAGGGAACTGGCTGCAATGGGAATTCACTTTTATGGGGTCAGTTATGCATTACTCCTCATCTAAACTACCTAAAAAGGGACAAAGGGAAATCTCCATCTGTAGCAACTGATTTAACTGGCTTAGGAAAAGTACACCTTCTTTCAACTTGCCAAATTCATGGGACTAACGTGGATACCCAAACTGTCCCTAATGTATTACACCCTCACTCTAGCATCTCATCAGGTTGCTGTTTAAGCTTCCTTGTTCCTTGGTGGTGAATGCCTTCCCACTCTACATTCTGTCTATGGAATAAAGAACTTTTTTGAAGGGGGGGCAAGAGTAAGAGGAGAAGTCCATGGTTTTTTTAACCTCCAATTTTCAACTTCCATTCTCAAGTCATACAACACAGATTTCAGGAGGCTACAACATATTTTCCAGTAAAACTTCTTGGTCAAAAACCATACTTTTCATCACTTGCCTGTAAGTTCCTTCCTAAAACCTGTCCCTGACTTCAACAGTATCACCCTTTCCACTTGTACTATTTATTAGTAGCTTCAGTAGCTGCTTGTCTCATTGTAGTCTTTAAAACTAGGAAACTCTTGTCTCTTTCTGTGCCATGTGCTAAGCCAATTCACATGCAACTTTTCTGCTGGCACCTCAAATTCTCTAAGGCAGTTCAAAACACTGAGGGAAAGATAGACCTGGTAATGAATGTACCTTCCCTGTAAGCCTTTTCATGTACTCCTTTTGCTACTGACTATGCTAAATGCTATGAGGTGAGCTAGATTGAAGCTGGTAGTATAACTCCAATATTGGAATGAAATGAGATACTGATAGGTCATTCAATGGTTAACAAAAGGATGTTTAATTAGCCATAGCATAAAAAGGATACTTAATAAGAATGCAGCAGTTGTTTGGGCATTCCTCATCTCCTGATGGAAATGAGCCAGGTCAGTAGACAAGGATGTGATAACTACAGTGGCCTTCGGAGTCTGAAGAGCCAGAGTCAACATAAATTTTTTTTTTAATACACTGTTAGCTGAAGAGAAAGCCACTTCAACACTTCAACATGGTTTGAGGCCAGCAAGAAGCTATTTCAATTAATTAGACTATTTGAGCCTTAGCTCTCTGGGCCAATCAAGTCTTAGGGATACTTTCCTTACCTTTTAGGGAAAGAACTAGTTTAATCTACTTGTGAACAAAAACCTTAGTAGAGACTGATCTTATCACACTGTCCTACTTGCTTTCCCTCAGACATGAGACTGTCCCCCATAATCACCTCTTCTAAACATTTCTTCTCGTTATCCCCAATTTTGTCATGACTCAGCTCAACTAAGTATAAGCTTTCTCAAGATAATTATATTCACAAGGTTCTATCTTCATGAAGGTTTTCTCCAGTTTAAGAGCTTCAATGTTGAATAAGGGTTCTGCTTTCATGAAAGGCTTTCTACAATCATTATATTACATTTGTGAGGCTTCTCTTGAAGGTGAGGTTTCTGATGTTTACTAAGATATGTATTGTTGGAGAATGTCTTTCCATAGTTAATTTCAATGATAAAATACCACTTCAACTCTGATATCTAATGAATTGAGGTCCAGCAGAAATTCTTTCCATATTCATAATATTTATTAGGCTTCTCTAAATTATGTCTTCTGATTTTAAGGTATGAAATGCCAAGGTAAAACCTTCCCATAATCATTAAATTCAAAAGGCTTCTCCCTAGCATAAATTCCCTAATGTTCCATGAAGTATGTGCTATCCAGGAAAGTCTTTCCACATTCCTAAGTTTTCTCTCCTGTAGGAATTTTGATGCTGAACCAGCCAAAAGGCCTTTCCACAAATCATTATACTCGTAGAGTTTTTCTCTGGTATGAATTCTTTGATGTTCAGCAAGCCATTAGCTCAATTTATTTTTCAATAAATACACTTTAAGGTGCTGCTTTACTATGAATTTCTGATGTACAATCCATTGTGAAAACCAGTAGAAGACTTTCCCATATTCAAGACATTTATAAGGCTATTCTTCAGTATGATATTTCTGTCTAAGTTGTACTTTAATACAGGCTTTCTCTGAATAGCTGCCTTCCAAAGTCCTCTTTCCAGAATGAATTCTCTAATGCTGAATGAACCCTAGCTATAGGTTATCTTGCAATTGTTACAACTGTTATGAGTTATTTGATATACAACTAAGTATGAGCTCCTGGGGAAGGCTTTCCCACATTGATTACATTTATAAGGTTTCACCCTCAACTGAAGTCTCTGATGTAGAGTAAGATATTCTTTGATAAAAAGGTCTTTCCAGACTAATTACTTAGATTTATAAGTCTTTTCTCTAGTATTAATTCTCTGATGTCAATTAACTCTGAACTCCAGTTGTAGGCCTTTCTACAATCATTACATTTTGAAGCTTCTCTTTAGTATGAATTTATCTAATGTTAATTCTGAAGTCTGATGGAAGATTTTCCCACACTCATTTAAAAAGTTACTCCTCAGTGTGACATCTTTGTAGAATAAGGTATATTTTGATATGAAAGGATTTCCCACAATAATTAGCTTCAAAAGTCTTCTATCTAGTATGACATCTCTTTTGTCTTGTTAAGTGTTAACTCCTGTGGAAGGCCTGCTGAATGAATTCTTTGATGTTTCTTCTTCCCAGGATGAAGTCTCTGATGTTAGGTTAACCATGAACTCTATGTGGTCTTCCCAAAATCAGTATATGTTTATTGCTTTTCTCCAGTATGAATTCTCTGATGTAGAATTAATTGTAAACTCTTGTGGAAAACTTTCCTATATTCATAACATTCATAAGGTTCCACTATGAAGTCTCTGATGTATAATAAGATGTTCTTTGTTGCGGAAGGCTTTCCCACAGTAGTTACATTTATAAGGTTTCTCTCCCGTATGAATTCTCTGATGTCGATTTAAATGTGAACTTTGGCGGAAGGTTTTTGCACAGTATTTACATTCATAAGGCTTCTCTCCAGTATGAATTCGTTGATGTAAAGTTAACTCTGAATTCCGATTGTAAGCCTTCCCACAATCTTTACATTTATAAGGCTTCTCTCCAGTATGAATTCTTTGATGCAGAGTTAATTCTGAACTCCGGTGGAAAGCTTTCTCACAATCTTTACATTTGTAAGGCTTCTCTCCTGTATGAATTCTTTGATGAAGAGTTAACTGTGAACTCTGATGGAAAGCTTTTCCACAATAGTTACATTTGTAAGGTTTCTCTCCAGTATGAATTCTTTGATGTCGAGTTAATTGTGAACTCCGGTGGAAGGCCTTCCCACAATAGTTACATTCATAAGGCTTTTCTCCAGTATGAATTCTCTGATGTGGGATTAACTCTGAACGCTGGTGAAAGCCCTTCCCACAATCCTTACACTTGTAAGGCTTTTCTCCAGTATGAATTCTCTGATGTCGAGTTAAATGTGAACTCTGGCGGAAGGCCTTCCCACAATAATTACATTCATAAGGCTTTTCTCCAGTATGAATTCTCTGATGTCGAGTTAACTGTGAACTCTGATGGAAGGCCTTCCCACAATAGTTACATTCATAAGGATTCTCTCCAATATGAATTCTCTGATGTAGCATGAAGTCTGAATTTTGGTTGTAGTCCTTCACATAATTGTTAAACTTGTAAGGCTTCTCTGTAGCATGAAATCTCTGATGGAGATTTAGCTCTGTACTATGGCGGAATCCCTTCCCACACTCATTACACTTATAAGGCTTCTCTCCAGTATGAATTCTCTGATGAACAGTTAACTGTGATCTCCTACAGAAGGCCTTCCCACAACGGTTACATTCATAAGGCTTCTCTCCAGTATGAATTCTCTGATGTGCAGTTAACTGTGATCTCCAACGGAAAGCCCTCCCACAATAGTTACATTCATAAGGCTTCTCTGTATTATGAATTTTCTGATGGTTATTAAGGTACTGGCTATAGGAGAATTCTACTGGATATACATATTCATAAGGCTTCTCTCCAGTGTGAAATCTTTCATGTTGGGTAGATTGTGAGCACCAGCAGAAGGCCTTTACACATTCATTAGGCCTCTCTCTAGTATGCAGGGTCTGGTGTTGGGTAAGAAATGAGCTGGAATGGAAGACTTTCCCATAACCATTATCTTCATAAGGCTTTTTTCTACTATGAATTGTCTGACATTCAACAAGGTGTGTACTCCAGATGGCCTCTATATATTCATGACTTTTATGGAGATTTTCTCCAATAGGAATTCTGTGATGAGAAATAATTGATGAATTGTGGTTGTAGGTTTACTTATATGCATTACATTCATAAAGTTTCTACCCAATAGGTTTCTAAGCTATTGAAAAGATAGGAATTATAAACTGAATGCATTTTATATTCATTAATTTTTATTTCCTTAGGCCTGAGTAATGTGTTCTATTAATGCATATTTTATTTATGGAGATATTTTCATATATGGACACCAACTAAAGTAAATGGATAGGGCTTGGCCAGAAAATTCTACCTTCGAGGTTTTTCTTTTTACTTGCCTAGAATGTATCTCCTCATGGTTCTGCTGCAGTCCCTCCAATCCTACATAATATTCCCATGATTCTTCCAATTGAGAAATATGGGAACCATTCCTTCTCAGTTTTTCATGAGCTGGCTCCTTGGCTTCAGGTCTAGTTTCCAAATCTGAAAGAAGTAAAAATGTAAATATTCCCTGTTAAATCTTAAAGTGGAATAAATCCTATCTTCTGACTTCTTCACCATGAAAAATTGTCTACATTTATTTTTATATACTACAGCTTTTTGCTTAATTTTTAATACTTTTGTATTGATATTCATCAGGATATTTATCTTTAATTCTTTATTATATCTCATCCTGGAATTAGTATAAAGTTTATGTGTTTGGTAAAAGAAATTTAGCATGATGCCTTTCTTTCTCTACTATTGGAAACATATTTTCTGGGCATAAGTTCTCTTAATTTGCATTTATTTATTATTTTATTAGAGTTTTGAAGAAATATCTGATACTGTTCATAGTACTTTGTAAATCTTCTGAGAACAGTTTTTTCATATCCTTTAACCACTCAATCTTTGAGGGAAAGCATTTGTATAGGTTCCCTCGATACTTTAGAAAACATGCCATTATAAAATGACATAAATGCTATAAAATGCAGATGTTTTCCCTACATAACAGTATACCTTCTTATCCTAATTGCTAACATTATTAATGCTAATATTTTTCAATTTCACGTAGTTGAAATGTTCTATTATACAGTTTTGGATTGCCTTATTCTGTTACTTAAGTTTTCATTCCTAGTCATCACTTTGAGAGGTACCTGGTCTAATTCTTTTAAATTTTGTTTTAAAGTATGATCTCCAATAGTAAGGTTGTATAGCTATTTTGAACTTACTGTATTGTGTATGATGTTGGTCTAAAACTAATTCCAGTTCAATTACTTTTAGGTTTTCAAGTTGTTAAATTGTGAGTTCTTTCTCAAGTAATTTTTATTTTCAGGCTTATCTAACACTAGACTGTTGAGAACAGATATTCCTGATCCATTCTTATGTAGTTTTTTCCACTAAAATGCTTCTGTAATTTTTAACAAACACTAAACGATTTTGCTGACTACTGCTTTATAGCATAAGAGGTAATGAAAATGATATCTTCCCATTTCTTCTATTTTGATTCCTGATTTAAAAAAAAATTCCCTATAGATTTTGGAACTTTTGTTTCTTTAAAAAATTTCTAATTTTTGTCTAACTGTAAAGCAATTTGGGGTAGCTAAGTGGCACAGTGGATAAAGCACTGGGCCTGGAGTCAGGAAGACTCATTGTTCTGAGTTCAAATCCAGATTCAGACACTTAATAGCTGAGTGACCGTAGAGGAGTCATTTAACCTTGCTCGCTTCAGTACCTTATCTGTAAGATGATCTGGAGAAGGAAATGGCAGACCACTCCAGTATCTTTGCCAAGAAAACTCAAAAAGGGGTCACCAAGAGTCAGACACAACTAAAAAATGACTGGACAGCAAAAAATAAAACAATCTCTTGATAGTTTGATTAGCAAGAGTATTAAATGTATTAATTAATTTCGGTATTTTCTTTTTTATTATATTGCTACCACCAAGCTATAAGCACTGTATATACTTCAATTATTTAAAGTATTCATCATTTCTTTAAAGACTGTGGATCCCAAGTCTGCCTTGGTAGACTAATTCTCATATATTTTATATATTTTGTAATTATTATGAATGAGATGTCCCTTTCTATCAATGATTCTTGGGTTTTATTATTGTTATATAGAAATGCTATTGATTCTGTGGGTTTATTTGATAACCTGGTCTTTCCCTGAAATTGCTGACTGTCTCAATAAGTTTTTATTTGTTGTTTGGTGTTTTCTATGTAAAGCATAATTTCATTATTAAACGGGAATAATTTTTTCCTTTGGTTGTTTTTATTCTTTTAATTCCTTGCTCTTGTTTTATTTCTATCACTAGCATTTACAGAACTAAATCAAATAAGAGTAGAAAAGGAGGTACTCTAGCTTTATACACAGATGTACTGGGAAGCTTTCTAGAGTTTCTCCATTGCATATAATGCTAGTTATGGTTTTAGACATATACATATATACTTACAGTATTTTTTTTTTGCATTTCAGTACTTTTACTGAAAGGTAACTTTCTTAGTACCAGAACATAATGGTACTTTGTTAGGTTACTTCAGCCAAATCAGTTTGCATTGATGAATAATAAAGGAAAATTTTCAAATCAGGTGTTTAGCAGTAACTGAAGAGTGCACCTACAAAACGCTTTACAAAATGAAGCACAAGACATATGAGATGTACTGTAGTGCTTTGGTTATCTTTAAAGGAAGTTTTTCTTACTTTTACTTAAAAAGTTCACTTGATTCTACTAGGTGGTGGTTTTTTTGTTTTTGTCTTTGTTTTTTTTTAGAATAAATAGGCATTGTACTTTGTCAAGAGTTTCATTTATATCTATTGATTATAATTGTGCTTTGGATGTTTTAGTTTTCAATAATATGATTAATTATACTGTATTCCTAATGGTGAACCATACTTGCATCCCTGGCACAAATTTTAACTTCATCACAGTGAATAATTTTTTGAATATTATTGTGGTCCTTTTGACCATGATTTAAATTTTTTTAATTTAATAATTATTAATGATATACGTACATAGTTGTCTTATTTTGCTTTATCTTTTTCTGGTTTGAATGTTGGTGCTATAGGGGTTTTTTTTGTAAAAGGAGTTTAGCAGGGTATACTCTTTCTCAGCTTTCAAAAGAATATTGAATTTGCTTAATACAGACAAGCATGGGAAGGCATATGAAATGAAAAAAGTACAGTAAGTTGAAACAGGAAACAATATACAGTAAATCTAACAATGGAGAGTACAACAAAATTATTTTTAAAAAATGAATATCATGAAAGTATAGCAACCAAGCATGGGGCCAAAGAAAAAATACAAGAAAATACTTCTTCCATTCTTTGCACAGGTCTGAGACTATGGGCTTGATATACAGCATTATATTTCAGATTTTTGATGTGTTTAATTTTACTGATTTAAAAAAAATATTTAAGATATGGCTTTCTGAGGAAGATAGCGATATAAATAGGAAAAGTAGCTAAAGCAAAAACAAAATATCAATATAATTTTTCAAACCTTTAAGCATTTATAAAATGTTCAAAATACACATGTAGCAAAAATTAGGCATGAAAGTGACACTCTTTAAAATAATTTTTTTAAAAGTGCTTATTTGCAACTGAGAGAGACATTCTTTGTAATGGACAAACACTAGAATCTTAGTAAGTTCAGAGATGAAATCAAGATGCCCTCCTGTCCTCAATATCATGCAAGATGACAAGAGAAAAAAATTAATAAATATGATTAAATTTACACTATAAAAAGGGAAGAATGCCGGCTCTGGAGTTAGACCAAGGTTCAGAACCTGCCTCTGATAATTACCACCTAGCGTGTAGCTGGGCAAGTTACTTAAGCTTCTAGGTTTCTCAACTTCCTACCCTCTAAAATAAAGGAAGGAGTTGGACTCGATAGCCTCTGCGGTCCCTTCCAGCTTTAGATCAATGATCCTATAGCATCAATAAAGCAGCAAAATGTAAAATAAACCTATGAAAATGTATACAACACTGCATGTATGCTACTAACAAAACCAGAAGAAAAAGATAAAACAGAAATATTATTGAAAATTACTATTAAAAATATGATCTATCTGAAGGAATCAAACATAGAGAAGACTTATACAAATATAGATAACACATTTTTAAGAAATAAATTAAGATTTAAATAAATGGAGACATTCCTTATTCATGGCTGAATCCCTGCAATGTGACCAGAATGAAACTTTTTGAGGTGAAAAGTCCAGATTAATTTCATAGATTTCATGAAGCAGGTGAAATCCAGACATATAAAAATTTCCTCAGGAATACAATTTATCAATTAATATGTAACTTGAAGGCTTAAGACATGTGTCAGGGTGAATGAGAAATTAAGTAGCTAGTGTAAGGTTAAAAATCAATCCCTCTATACATTCCCTTAATTCCATTTCCTCTCTTTTTATCAAACAGATTGCCCCCACAATCATCTAATCACTCTCTCTCTAATCTTCAATATCTCCTTACTACTGGCTTCTTCCATATGAATATGATAAATACATGAAAGAAGGTAAAGACATATGAACTAACACTAAATAAAGTAAGCTAAAATAGGAAAAAAATAAACAATGAATCAAATGGAAATGTAAAATACAATAAGAAAGTAATAAAAAATGGAGGCCATGAAATTACAATGACCAAGCTTGGCCCCTAAGTAAAAATACAGGAAACAATCTTTCCTGTACAATTCCATAAGGGATGCCTCCTCCCACTCCCCATAGCTGGAAGACAATAGGTGTGGAACACTGAATAAAATTTCAGATTTTTTAATGTGTTGTTACAGTTGCCTGAGTTGTTTTTTAAAAAATGTTTCCACTCTAAGTTATGATTCTCTCTGAAAGGGGAGAAGATAAATTATAAAAGGCAGTTAAGAGAAAAACAAAGTATCATTAAATATTTTTTGAAACTATGCATATTTAAATTGAGGGCCTGTACCAGGGTGGGAGCATCACCAGGAGAGAAGGGGGCATATACAAAGGATGTCAGGAAGAACAGATTACATAGCACAATATCTCGTAGAGAAACAAATTAGGAGACAAGAAATGACAAAGGTCTAAAGTAAGGTAGTGACTGTGTGAGTAGAGAAAAAAGGAGAGATAAGAAAGATTCTGTAGAAATAGGACCCATAACGCTTGATAACTGACTGGATAAAAGGGTTGGGGGGGAAAGAATAGTCAAGGACAACTCTGAGGTTTAAAAGTTAGATGACTAGAAAGAGTGGATAACATGAATAGACTTGGGAAGTTTGTAGGGCTAAATTTTGGGAGAAATATGAGTGGTTCCATTTTGGACATGCTGAGTTTGAGGTGCTTCAAATCTAAGATTACAGAACACTGTGGAAGAGAATCACTACTCAAAAACTCAAGGGAAAACAGTAGAAACACAGGGATAGAAGCATCTCACATTATATACCATAATAAGTTTCATGCGCACCAATAATCTATGTATTTTTCAAACATATTTAAATATTACAAAAATAGTCTCTCTCTCTCTCTTTCTCCCTCTCTCCCCTCCAACCCCCGCATCTTTCCTTCTATTCTGATTTTATTTATAATACCAAAAGTATGAACACAAAGGACCTATGCTTCTAGCTCTTGGTGGAATGGCTAAACAGATTGTGAATAATTGAAAATGGATTATTATTATTATACCATTGTAATTGCCATTCCTTAAAAATACAAAAATGTTAAGACTAGCCCCTAGTAGAATAGATCAAAGACAGCAATTTGAGAATATACACTCTAAAGAAAGTTATATAAAAAAACACATAATTTTAAAAAAACATTTAGAAGAAAAAATGAGAAGGTGATATGTCAGAAAATGGGGTGTTTTTGTTATTGTTTTATCTTCTCCACTCCTTCTCCAACAGCCTTCCCACCTCGGAGGCCCTCTTTCCTGAATTCTTAGTCTCTAGCCAACACTACAATTCTGAGGTGTCCAGGCTATGCTCACTCTATTGCTAGCTCCCACCACTCCCCATACCCTACTCCTCTCTACTTCATGCTTTTTAGCTTCCCCTTCTGTATTTTCTTTCCTCCATTAAAAAGTAAACTCTTTGAAAATGCTGTTTTTTAAATTGAATTTGGACCTCAGAAATTTAAAAAGCATTTAATACACAGTAAACACTTAATAAGTGTCATAGCTAGGTGTTCAAGTTGGTATTGCTGTTGTTGTTCAATCACATCTGATACTTTGTGACTGACTCTTCATGACCCCATGGTTCAGGGCATGCCAATGCTGTCCATGGGGTTTTCTTGGCAAAGATACTAGAGTAAGTTGGCCATTTCCTTCTCCAGTGGCTTAGGGCAAAGAGGTTAAGTGACTTGACCAGGGTCACACAGCTAGTGTCTGAGGTTGGATTTGAACTCAGGACTTCCCAACCTTAGGCCAAGTACTCTATCCACTGAACCACCTAGCCATTCCCAAGTAAGTATACATGTTTTTTAAAAAGAACTATCAAGATATAGTTTTAGGACATGGACAATGAGGGGATTTGTTTTGCTTGATTATGCGTTATTTGCTACAAGGGTTCTCCTCACCCCTTGTAGGGGAATGAAAAGGTAAAGAAAGAAAACAAATTTTTATTTATCAAAAAAAATTAAATAAAATTTGCAAAAAAAAAAAGACTAAAAGGGAATTAAGGTAAAAAATGGTTGTTAGGGATTAAATGACTAAGGAGAAATGGAAGAGAAAGATCTCTGAAGAAAACACTTCCCCAACAGATATTAGGAAAATGATTTATTGATAGCTCTTGCTGTCACAGCTCAGCTCTGCTCCAGAGATACAGAGAAGAGACCTCTAAGGAGAGCTCTAAAAATGAAACTTCCCATGAAAGACCAGCTAAGGTGTGGCTCATAAAGATTCCCATTTGCCTGATTTTCAATGACTCACCTGGATTGATGGTTTTTGGTACTTCTCTGTCCTGCATCCAAGGTGCTTCCCCTTCTTCCAAGTGGGAGATCACATCCGGTTTCCAAACTGTAAGTCCTGCTTATTGGAGATGGAAAAGTGTTGAGAACAAAAGCCCCTATCTTATCCCTATTGACTATTTGGGGTAAAGAGGCATATTAAGGATGCCCAAAGGTCCAAAAGACCTCTGAAGTATCATCTGCATTGTTTTCCTTAGATAAGTCAGACCCTGGGGATATGCCATCACAAATAAAAGTACATTTGATTCATTCCAACTAAAAGAATGAAACTTTCTTGTTCTCAGACTTCTACACTGGGACTTTAGGAGAGAATCTTTTACCTGAAGGACAGAGAATGGGAAGGCTACTTCAAACATAACACAAACAAGTACCCAACCTCCAGCAATACACGGTAAGGACCTTTTGTCTGAGACTAAAGAACCAACGTAAACCATTTATGGCCACAAGAGGATTAGCAAACTGATCTCTGCATGTTAAACAATAATTTCTAAATGTTAATCATGTAGAAAATGTTAATTCACTAAGTGAAGTAAGAAAGATTCCACTATGGAAAGAATCTGAGACACAAGAGATAGCTCTCCTTACCCAGGAAGACAAGGTTCCTATAGTTCTCCAGCATCACATCCTTGTATAACGCTTTCTGGGAAGAGTCCAGATTTCCCCACTCCTCAGGGGTAAAGTCTACAGCTACATCCTTAAATGTCACCAATTCCTGTTGGACCTTCATGGGGTGATAAATTTGGCAGGAATGTTAAAAAGTGGTTCTTGATGGTTAGTGTTCCAAGTCAAATATATATTGAGGGGCAGCTAGGTGGCGCAGTGGGTAGAGTACTGGCTGTGATGTCAGGAGGACCTGAGTTCAAATCTGGCCTCAGATCAAACACTTGACACTAGCTGTGTGACCCTGGGCAAGTCACTTAACCCCAATTGCCCAAAAAAACAAAAACAAACAAATTTATAACATTAGTTATCATGATCCAAGTATTAGGGATTTCCATTAGAAGCAATAACACAAGCTTCCTCCATTAATAATCAAATGTACTTTCCCTTGGATAACATTCTCCAGTGCCATTTTCTCCCTTTTTGCACCATTTCAGACTAATTCAAATATGCTTATTATAGCTATCCCCTAGATAACTCATTACTATTTAATACAAGTAGTCTACATTTGAATAACATTTCATTTAAAAACTGCTTTACATAAATTATCCCTTTTAGATCTTGCAAAGACTTTATGAGGTAGATACTGTATATATTACATTCTCCCAGTTTATAGATGAGAAAACTGAGTACCAAAGAGGTTAATTGACTTGAAAAAGGCCACATAGTATTAAGCAGCAGGACTGGAACCCAAATCTTCCTGGATTCATGTACAACACCAGGCACTCCACCAAAGTGCTCCCCAAACAACTGAACAAACATTGTAGCTTAACACTAGAATTCCATGGACAGACATTCTCACAGAGTGAACTTTTAACAATAAATTTAAGCCAAACACTATGATTTAAATTATTACAATTGCTTTACAATTATTTTAGTATCTATAATTACCTTCTGAGCCACACTTAACCACAGAAATGGAGACCAAATAATTCTGTCTTAGCCTTTTTTCCCCTGCCTTTCCCACAACAAAAAGTCAACAAAGTTAATACTACCTCATAAAAAAAAAGACAAGATTAATATGAAGGAAAAAATTTAGAAACCACTAGATTCTATACAATCTTCCTTCTCTAAATACACAGAGTACTTAAAGTACAAATTGAAGCATTTGTATTGCTTAACTAACTGATCTTGAACAAGTTATTGCTCTCTGTCAGTTTCCCCATCTGTCAAATGGAGAAATAATGCTTGTGCTACTACTTACTTTCTGTGAGGAAAGAACTTTGTAATCTTAGAAGGCTGATTTCAATATTTGCTTTTTTTTTTTTCACAGAGGCCCAGGTCAGGAATTAGCAATCAGAGGATTTGAATAAGTGAACTTCAGATTAAGAAGAAAGGAACAGCACCAAAGTGGAAAGCACATTCTCTATAGAGTATGTATGTTATCCAGAGTATGGTATAGAGTAGGAAAAAAGCCAGGGCAGTCAGAAGACCTATAACAAAATGCTGCTTCTTCTACTTAGTAGAGGTGTGACTTCACCACAGCATGACTGGATCAAATGGTGAATGGGAGTCAGGAATATCTGGGCCCAAACCTCACTTCTTAGTGCTGTTGTAAGACCCAAAAGAGCTGTCTGAAAGGATTTTGTAAATCTAAACGTTACATAAATAACAATTATTATACTTCTAGCTGTAGAGCTTTTACAAAATCTCTAAAAGAAGGGAATTAGACAACTTAATTACTATGGTCTTCTCCAGCTTTAAATTCTACTTTCTGGTAAGGCTAAGATCACAGAATAATAGATGCAGAAACAGAGACAAGGACCTTAAACACCATCTAGTCCAACTCCTCCAATGACAAACGAGGAAAGTAAAGCCCAAGGAGATTTAATGCCTGGCTCAAACAAGACAGACCCCATTTCTTACGTTCCAGGCCGAGGATTAAGAAACAAATATTTCTTCAAGAGCAAACTGAACTCACTTTGCAGCCTGGCGCTGTCAGGAATACAGGGGCCATTCCCACCCTCTTGGAGAAGGACAGAGGGCTCAGAAGGCAGAAACGGGAAAGAAAAACGACCCAAGACAGGCATTAGTCTACCTTGCCCCTCCCGCCCCACTCCCCCCGCAGACAGAGCTCACGAACCACCCAGACCCCGGGGGGTTCAAGGCCCGGGCACACGAGGAGCACTGGCGGCTCCAGCCCCAAACCCGCCGTGGGGGACCGCGGCGAGCCTGACCACGACGTGGCAGGCGGGTGCTCAGGCGTAGCAGAACACGCGGCTGCGCCCAGCTCTCCTTCCCTGCAGACGCGGAGCAGCGAGAGAGGAGAGCTCAAGGGCCGGCGGGGGGCGGCCAGCCCAGGAAAGGGCCCGACCAGGCACCTGCCGAGAGAATCGCCCGGCCCCGCGCTCACAAAGACCCCCGAGACAGGGCCTGGCAGCCGGCTCCGCTCAGCGCACACCCCCGATCCCCGGGGGCAGCTCGGCTCGCCAGCAGCGGCAGGAGCAGGGACAGGCCGCGGGCGACGTTGGGTCGGAGGGAGGCCCGAAGGCCGGAGGAGCACCAGCTCCCGGGTCCGGGACAGGGAAGACGGAAGACACACAAAGCAAGTCCATCAGGCCAGGCTACCTGAGTAACAGCAGAGCGGAACTGGAAGAGACGTCAGAGCGCCCTTCCTCCCGCCCCTTCCGGCCATTGTCCCTCTGTCTGCACAGCCCCAGGATGCTGCACTTTGCTGGCCTGGCACCAAATGTTGCCTGGCAGGAATTATCGAGGGTCCCGCTCTACCCTGAGGGAAGCAGGGTCTCGGGGGCCGGATTTCCGGAAGGGTCGATGTGTGCGCGTGCCTAGCACCCGACTTTTGGGCAATGCCAGAGACTTTTCCAGTCGCTAGCGGGGGTCTGTTTATTAAGCCACCTTTTAGGAGGCTTAATGCCCTGTGCCAGACCCTGGGCACACCAAGACCACACCGAAAACACTGTCTCCATCCAAGGAGCTTCCAGGATGTGGCTGGTGCCGCTCATACCCGAATCCATGGCTCTTTCCAGCTCATTTGAAGCTCCTCTCACGTGGAGCCTTTTCCATCAGCTTCAGCCCAGCCCACCCCTTTCTCAGATCTGGCCACGTGCTTGCTTGGTAGGTTGTCTTAGTACATGTTACTTCGCCTTGTAGAATGTAAGCGTCTTGCAGGGGTAACATATATTCCCATCACACAGAACAGGTTCTGGCATGTAGAGGACCGATTCGGGCTGCATTCAGTTACATGAGGTCTTTTCCCTATGTCTTTAAATCTACAATTGCCCAGGCTGTTTGGAAGGGTTGGGGTATTTGTATAGAATTTGGCTGTCACAGGGCATTAACCTCAGGCCAACAAATCAGTGGACTTCACCAGAGAGTGGTAAGGGTTTTCTTACATTCTACTGGGGGGATGTATATATGTATGTACACACATACATATTTATGACAAAGTCTGTCTCCCACATATAGTATGTGTTTGTTATTGTGTAGCTCAAAGGCAGATGAAATAAACATCTCTAGCCTCCTCTCCCCTCTACCTTTCTCCAAGGGTGACTTTAATTTTTGCCAAGAGCGGAACCACTGAAAGTTGGGGCTAGAGGCTGGCCCCTCTGCTCTCCTCAAAGAGAGCAGGTACTTGGCTAGAATTCTTTCTCTTTTTCTCTAAATATTGTTAGTCTGGAGGATGTGGTTTTCAGATTCAATGTAATTTTTGGCTGCTGTTTCATTATTGGAGGGAGGAGGATTCCAAGCTTTATATCCATGGCTTGACCCTTTTCCCACAAAATGCTAGTTCTACAGTGAATACACATAGCAGGTAGACTAGAAAACTATTTATCCAAGTAAAAGCAAAACAGAATTCAGAGAAAGTATATCTAGGAGAATATGTACCAAATATTACAAGGTAAAAGAACTCTGCCATTGAGAGTGAGCTAATTCAGTTCAATCAACAGATAAGACATGATAGAAATTGTCAGCTCCTTCCATGTTGGCTTCTTCCAGAATCTTTTCCTTCAGCAATCTGAAGTAGGGTTAACTTCATCCATCTTTTCTCTCAAAGCTGGAAGCTACAAACTCCTGATGCAAGTGACTTGAAGACCCAAAGAAAACTGAAGCTCTCTCCCACTCTTGTTAACTCCACCCTGCCCCTCATGCAGGCCAGGCACAGATCTCCACCATTCAGGAGAGAATCCACAGAAACAATGGTCTTAAGGACTCAGAATACATTCCTTCCCTCCCTTTCTGTAGTCCTTTGCAAAAATAAGCAGGGACAAATCTAAAACCTGTAAGTATATATCAAAAACCTAAGCATCAAGGCAAGTTTCCTTAAGTGACAACATGGCTAACTGTGTGAGAACACAATACATGCACATTTCAAAGTATGTACATATCCATAGTATACAGCAATCTATTCAAAAGCAGTAAGCCTGGCAAACAAAGTAAAGCAAGCTAGCTACAATAATAACATCAACAGGCCTATACATAAAATACAACGTAACCAAAAGCAATAACATAAATGCAACCCCCCCATATTTCTGTAATATGAATGTAACCCAAAACAGTCAAAAGAACATAAAATTTAAAAAACACGTGCACCCAAACATGCAGTAATTAACAAGTAAAGAAGGATATATGCAATTACATACAAAGCACATTTCACATGGGTAATCTCTAATATTGTCACCTAGTCACATGTGTAACTATTTTCAGGTTTACATGTAACATCACAACTTAGCCTAGTGACTGGTTTAAAAGGCTTACTTCTCCTGTCACTGACTTCCTCAGCTTTTATACCTAAGCCAGTAATTGGTATGGATTAACCATCAAGATTATTATAGACTTGTGTACCACACACCTGGATTGGTAGTCATGTCAGGTTGGCTGTTAGTATTTTTGAGCTCTGTGGGTTGAATCTCTACCCTAGGAGTCTCTAGTAGTTTTGGATAGGAAAGGATTTGCTTCTAGGTCAAGTTCTCTGTATATAACAATATACAGGTCCTTCACTGGAGGCATCACTTTCAGTGCCCATATCTGGGTCAGAAAGTCTTTGTACAACTGGTGGACCATCTGTTTTTCTCAGCTTTTTCTTAGGTGAGTGTCCATCACCTATTATAAAATCTGACAACTCTTCTGTGGGTACTAGGTGGTTCCAGTGAATAGTCCTGATAGGGTCCCCGCTCCATTCTCTGGGGCTTTTTTGTGAAAAGAAAAGTTGCCCAGTCTCTCAATAACTTTGTATGAATTAACTTTCCAACAGTCAGCTAACTTGTAAGTCCAGAATAGATAAAAGCAGTGTTTTCCTTGTCTTTCTGAGACATAGGAATCTGGTAGGATCCACTATACAAGTCCCAGACTGAAAACTATTGATTGCCTAGAAGACAATCCTGGGCACTTTGCACCATAGAATAGTGCACTGGTCCACTTTAGTCCTTTTTTTTTCCAAGTTCACTAACACATATCCATATCTTTCCATTTTCTTACCACTTTGGATGCATAAAAGCTCCTAGATTTTGTGATGATGCCATTAATCAGCATTTCTTTGAGGTTTCTGAGATCATCACAGAAAGAGGAATCATCCTAGATTTATCTCTGAATGGTCTGGAATGTATTCTGTGGTTTGGACTTTTGAGAATATCCTACGTCTCACTAATGCAATGAGAATACACTTGTCTTACTGATTTCCAGTCTCAATCTATCCATCTACTCTTGTGGTACTGGGGAGTCCCCTAATCAAATACCTCAGGATCCAAGTTGGTGGGTGAGGAACTAGGGCTCCTGTGCTGCTTACTGCAACCTCTTTCTTCTGTCCTTTTATAAGCCTCTGAACAGTCTTCAAAGTGTTCAAATACTGGGTCTCAATTTGTTGCTTGTAGTATTCTGCTAGAATTTTGAAAAGATTACAGTTAGTTCCAGTCAATGTTGACACTCCAATGAGTGTTGAAGGTTCTTGACATACCAGAGCTAGAGTGTCCACTTTTCTGTCAACACCACCAACAGCAGTTTCAAGCTCACCTGGATGTGTCCCAGGCATGGATAATCTTTATTGCTCAAACCTCTACATCCAAGCTTTGCCAAAGGTTTTTAAGATATTTTGTCCAAATACCTGTCATAAAAAGATTGGAAAATGATAGTAACTTGAGGTCCTCTGTCCAGCATAGCACTGAAGTTCATATTCTCAATTTTTACCTTCACCTCTGTAAGTCCAGCTAAGGAACTGATGATGAAGTCAGTGGGATTGTCCTGGGGCCCAGAGTGACCTCCTTCCCTGGCCTCATTCTGGTTCCCTGAAGCTGGATAATATTTAGCTTCTTCAAGACCACTTCTGCATTTTCTTTGCTAGCACATCCAAAATAAGTATGACCATCTAATCCACAAGTATAACAAAAGGTAGATCTCTTACTTTGATGATTACCTGAAGGCATTCTCATGTCATTCCCTAGATCCTCTGCCTCTCCAAGGAGAATAAGATTGTGCAGTGCTACACTTCTTATTTGATTGTTTCATTGGCTCTATGACTGTAGCCCAGTGATGCTGTTACCCTGTTTTGCTCCCATGGCCCACACTCATCATGGCCTGGAGCCTGCTGAGGCCCAGCTCTGTGAATTATATTGATCTCTGAAACTCAGGAGTACCTGCTTTGCCTCAGACATTGTTGGTAATGGCTTCTATATCTACATAGATCTGATGACATCAGATGTATGAGGGTTATTTACCAAGCTCATGGAACAAACAATCTCTATAGAGTATTTTTTCCTACAGTGAGGTGGCACAGTGGATAGAGTGCTTGGCTTGGAGTCAGGAAGAACTGAGTTCAAATCTAGACTTAAGACACTTTCTAGTTGTGTGACCCTGGGCAACTTACTTAACCTCTGTTTACCTCAATTTCCTTATCTGTAAAATAGGGATAATAATAGCATCTACCTCTCAGGGTTGTTGTGAGGGTCAAATGGGGTAATTGTAAAGCACTTAGCACAATGACTGCCATATAGTAAACACTATATAAATGTTAGCTATTATTCTTCTTCTCAAGATCCGCAGCCCCTGTTTCTGCACATGTTCCTCCACTCTGAGGAGGAAATCAGAAGGCTTTGTGAGGCATAGTATGTGAGACAAAATTAGGTTAGGGGTCTTTTGATCCACCATCTCAAACATCTTAGCCAAACATTTGGTCTTTACACTTTGAGCATCCACTCAGTGGCCTTTGCAACTATTCCTCTTAAGCTCTTTGTCAGATTCATCATTTTGTTTGGCTCAGGGGCCTTCCAGTATCCTGGGCTCGCTCTTGCTTATCCAACCCAAGTCTCCCAAGATGGTTCTCCTGAGCAACATGGTTCTTGTCCAGAGAAAATGCCAATTTGAGCCTTATGATATCTATATACCACAGTGGGTATGGCTTCCGACATATTCACAGATGGAGTGGAATTCTAGGATTTAATTTTGACATTCATTCTCTCTGTAGGAATGCCTCCTTTGATTAGAAGGGCTTCTGCTTCTTTAAGCAATTCCTCATCCTCAGAGGATGATCAGGGCTGAAATTCCCAAGATAACTTCCTACTGTCAATTTCTCAGGTAGAGCTACATGATAAAAATTCTTAGAAAGGATTAGAAAAACCTCCTGAGTTGCCTTACTTGCCTTAACATCAGTGGCCTTAACTGTATACTTTTCTTATCCTTTCACTTTTCTGCCCAGTATCTTCAAAATTTCCTCTTAAGGTCTGGGTATACTCCTGACATTAGGAAGGCTCTATGCTTTCCTTTTTTTTTTCTTTTTCAAAAATTAATTTTAAACTTAAGTACAAAACAAAAAAGAAAAAATGCCATGTATATAGAAGAACATAGGAGAGGATTCAATATAAAACAATAAATTTCCAAATATTACACATTGTTTTCAAAGCTGCCTAGCTTTTCTTTGCTTCTTTATAGGTTTTCTTTTCTTTTTTTTTTTTTTCATTTTTGTGAGGCAGTCGGGGTTAAGTGACTTGCCCAGGATCACATAGCTAGTGAGTATCATGTGTCTGAGGCTGGATTTGAACTCAAGTCCTCCTGACTCCAGGGCTGGTGCTCTATCCACTGTGCCACCTAACTGCCCTTAGGCTTTCTTTTGTTGTCTGCTGTGCACCTTTTACTTTATTTTTTCCCTTCCTGCCCCTTCCCCCAAGACAGCTACAATGAAGTGCAGATATATAGATATAGATATATATAAATGTATGCATGTATATGCATACATATACACACAGATATAGATATACATGTAAACATATACATATATATATACACTCATGGACACATTTGTAACACCATACTATACTTATCTCCACTTGTCATCTGTTTCTCTGAAGGTGGATAGTATCTTTCTTCATAAGTCCAAGTCTTTCCATATTTTTCTAAATCAACCAGCTCATCATTGGCTACACCACAGCAACAGTCCAACCCAATCATATCCTATCTGAGAGATTGTCTTTGAAGGGTTTTTTTCCCAATTTTCTGCATTCCTTCTGTTCTTGGCTACCTAAGTTTTATTTATACAAGAAAATGTTCATTTAAAGTAATCGAAATTATCATTTTGCACTTCAACAATGCCCTCATCTCATAACAGTTTAAAGTCTGATACTGCTGAATCTGCTACCTTTACATCTTTTTCCCCTGGTTTCTTTGAAGTTCCTGACCTTTTGTTCTTCCAAATGAACTTTGTTATTATTTTTTTCTAGGCTCTATGCTTTTCAACTGCAAAAGCAAGACAAAACCTATCAATTACCTTAGCTTCCATATTTGCTAGAGATTGCTCCACATGTACCCACATTAATAATAATAGCTACCAACAACAACAATAATAATAATGATAGCCAACATTTATATAGTGTCTGCTGTGTTCCAGGGACTGTGCTCAGTGCTGGGCATACAAAAAGAAGCAGAAGGCAGTTCCTAGCTCCCAAGGAGTTCACAATCTAATGGATAAGACAAGCAAACAAATGTGTACAGACAAGGTATACCCAGGATAAATAAGAAATAATTAACAGAGGGAAGGTAGTAGAATTAAGAGGAATTAGGAGATTACCATAGAATATGGGATTTTAGTTGGGACCGAAGGAAGCCAGTGAAGCCAGGAGACGAAGAGAGGGAGAGTATTCCATGCATTGGGGATAGGCAGAGAAAATGCCAGAACTTGGGAGATAGAATGTCTTCTGCCAGGAATTGCAAGGAGGCCAGTATCACTGAATCAGAGTACATGGTTGAATAAGGGGCTTAAGGTATAAGAAGACTAGAAAGGTAGAAGGAGCAAGTGGGGAGCTTTGAATTTCAAAGAGAGGATTTCATAAGTTTGCAAGTAATAAGGAACTATTGGAGTTACAAGATTTTATAAAATTGTTGTTTGTCCTTTGTTTTTGAAGAGGACCAATGACATCACTGGGTGATGTCTTGACTCATGTATGAATTGGATTTAAGTGAGGCAGAGTTGCACATAGTCATCAGCCTCACTCTCTCTACCAGGGTCACTGAAGTCCAGTGGTAAGACAAAAGTCAGGACAACTGACGATGGTCTGGGATGCAGTGAATGACCTTGACATCTTCAATGACTGCCTTAACTCTAAGTACTCCATGGTGCCTGCTTCAGCTACCTTCATGGCCTTGAACAAATTGTTCTCATTCTCCCATTGTGCCAGGGCAAGTCTTCACATACTTGAGGTAGAGACCTTCCTTATAATCTTGTAAGTGACAAGGAACTGAAGGGCAGATAGGTGGTACAGAGGATAGTGCACAGGCCTGGAACCAGGAAGATCTGAGTTCAAATCTAGCCTCAGACACTTACTAGCTATGTGACCCTGGGCAAGTCACTGCCTCAGTTCCTCATCCGTAAAACGGGGAAATGGCAAGTCACTCTAGTCTCTTTGTCAAGAAAACGCCATGGGCAAGAACATGACGTCATAAAGAGTCAGTCATGACTGAACAACTGAACAACAATAACAAGAGTTTAATGAGTAGGGAGTACTCAGTAGGAGACACAGACCTGCAGTAGGAATATGTTTCGCAGCTGAGTGAAGGATGGACTGAAATGAGGACAAATGTGGCAAGAAGATCAACCAGCAGGTTTTTGCACTTGTGCAGGAATGAGGTGATTGTGGCAGTGTCAAAGGAGAGAAAGAGGTATATATAAGAGATGTTATGAAGATAAAATCAACAGGCCTTGGCAACAGTCTGGATATCTGTATCTAGGGATAAGAGAGTGAGATGTCAGTGAAGACACCTATTTGCAAGCCTACATCACTGGAAGGGTGATTGTACCCTTGATAGTGTCAACCCTGGGAACAAATTATCAAAGAGCCACAGCAGTTCTGCAACTGCTGTTAACCCTCAAAAAATCTAGAGAGCTCATGCAGGTTATCAAAACCACAGTTAACTCTAAAAAAATAAAATAAAAACAAAGAGATAACAGTGCTCATAAGCAAAATGCTTTCTTTATTCCATTGGAGGAGGGAAACTAGACACATGTGCTGGGGACCTCTCTAGTAGGAGACCCACTTTAGGGTGGGCAAATCTCAATACTTATACCAATAGCTATGCAGCCCAGACAGTGGAGGGGTAACAGAAACAATGATACAAGTTTGATTCATAGCAGGACTTCATGACTGTAACATGAGTACTGCAGGTGCTGTCTGAGCTCAGAGACCACCTGGTGTTGATGTGAAACAGTTCTGGGATTTTGCTAGGTCTGAGATCATCCAGAGCTTTGTGGCTCACCAGCTGTTATGCCAAGCTCAGGACACAGCTTGCTTACTGGGCCTTAGCTCTGGAAAACAGGGTATCTCCTAATAGTAAAAAGAGAGAGGTAGTCTTTGCATGGGGATCCTGACAACAGTAATAAAGAAGGTAAGAAGTGGGAAGGGTGTAATTTGAAAGATAAAGGCTTTGGTTTTGAACGCATGAGTTTGATATATCTAATAGGCTGTAGGAAATTTGAGACTGGAGATCATCAGAGAAGTTAGGAATAGATAAACAGAGTTGAGAATTATCAGCATAGAAATGATTATTGAATCCACAGGAGCAGACAAGATCAGCAAGTGAAACAGTATAGAGGGAGAAGAGAAGAGGGCTCAACACAGAGCCCTGCAGGTACCCATGTTTAGCTAGTGTAACCTGGAAGAAAATTCTACAAAATTGTTTGAGGAGGTAATCAGATGGCTAGGAGGAAAACCAGAAGAAATACAGAAGAAAATATCAAGGAGAAGCAGGTGTTTCACAGTATCAGAATCTTCAGAGAGGTCAGGAAGAATAAGAATTGAGAAAAGTCTATTAGATTTAGCAATTAACAGAATATTAGTAACTTTGGAGAGAGCATTTTCTGTTGACTGATGATGTTGGAAACTGTGTTGCTAAGTTAAGAATATAGTGAGAGGAAAGGAAATGAAGGTACCTACTGGAGAAGGGCTTCTCAAAGAGTTCAGCCACAAAGGGAGAATTATAGGATGATAGTTTGAGGAGATGACCAACAAGACGGATGATGAGATATTCTCTCTGATTCTAGCAAGCTCTAAAGCCTCTCCAAGTAGGAATTATGTGTAACAGATAAAACCAGTTCTGCTTTTCCAACAGTTTAGGACGCCAAGAACCCAAACAAGCTAAAAACTGAATGAATTAATGAGAGAATTCCCAACCCCTAATACAATCACAGCACAGCCTCCCCTACAGACCAAAAGGAGAAAGAGGAGGAAGAAGATAGAGGGGAATTTAATTAAGTCAAAGGCTAACAATGAAGAGGAACAAAGTTCTTATAGTCCTTCAAAAAGAAGAGCCTATAAAAAAAAAGACAAGCCTATAGGAGAATGGTCAAGGAGGCAAAGGGAGTGATTGAAAAGGGGGGAAATTGGGGCAGCTAGGTGGTACAGTGGATGGAACAGTGGCCATGAAGTCAGGAGGACCTGAGTTCAAATCCGGCCTCAGACCAAACACTTGACACTTACTATGTGACCCGGGGCAAGTCACTTAACCCCAATTGCCTAAAAAAAAAAGGGGAGGGGAATTAAGGGGAAAATCTTGTTTCAGTGGTGGGAAGGAATGCCACTGATGAATCCTCCAATGGTAGAAAAGAGATTCTATAAAGGCAGATTAGGAACCTTAAATGAGTATGATCTTCAGGGATGGTGCTTAGACAGATCACTTGAACTTGCCTTAAGAGATGGGGAATCAGAGTTCCTATGGGGTAAATGACAGCTACAAGAGTGGGAGGGCATGGGCTCAAGAGGAGACACTTTGAGGCAAATGGGAAAAATATGACCAAGGTAAAGGCAAAAGTCAAAAGTTAACTGCACAACCAGGGACATTATAAAATTCCTTCCATGAGATATCCTCTCTGTCACCTGCAGGAACTGATATTTCTAAAAGTGAGGCACAGTAGGAAAAAAAAAAAGGTTCCAAGAGGCAAGATCTACAGATAACACAGAAAGTGTTTAGAAGAAGGAACCCAAAATTGACAACTTAGGAATGGAGACTAAAGAAGGACTAAGTAAGTATGGCCATGAATCAAAGAAGAAAAGAATAAAAATAGACAGAAAGGGAAAATAAATGAGGACAATGGGGGAAAGAAATTCTTTTTAGAAAAAGATGTAGAAAAGAAATTTAAAAATTAATGAACAAAACAAACTGAACACAAGAGGAAGAAGAAGGATTCTATTGGACTACTTAGCCAAGGGGCGGGGGGGAAGTAAAGAAATAACTAGATTAAAAACAAGCAAGAAAAATAAACCAATAAGCAGCTAAGGAAAGGAGTAAGAAATGAAAGGCAGAAGGCAAGCATAACTTGAGGGCAAGCAGGAGGGAGCTGGTGGGCATCGGGTTGCCTATGGACTGTATTAAAATAACTGAAGAGATACTGTGTTTACAGAGAAAAGAGCAAAAAATCCTAACTTGGGGAAAAATAATATTAGTGTCAAATGGAGGAAGATATAAATCTAACTCATAAAACTGTACATGCAGATGGATTAACAATCTAGTAAAATGGAAGAGTGACACTGGATAAGAAACAAAATCCTGCAATCTATTGCTTAGGAAAACATTTATCAAGTCAATCCAAAAAAGCAAGAGTTGCAATCATGTTTTTAGATAAGGCAAAAACAAACATTCAAAACATAAAAAAGAATATAATATAGGCAGGAAACTACATTATGCTAAAAAGAACCACAGACAACAAATCAATAGTGATATTAAACTTATAGTTTCCAAATGTCATAGCATTCATAAAGGAAACATTAACTGAACTACAAGAAGAGACACAGTAACATAATAGTAACAGGATATTTCAATGGCCCTTTCTCAGTTTTGAATTAAGTCTACCAGAAAGACAAACAAAAGGAAAATACAGAACTGAACAAACTGCTGGAAAAACTAGAGCTAAAAGACTCATAGCATATTTTAACTGACTGCTAAAGAATACATGTATTTCTCTGTCTCACATGGAATTTTTACAAAAATTGACGATGTATTGGGGCATAGAGATATTACAGACAAATATGAAAAAGGTAGATATAGTAAATATGTCATTTTGAGACCAGAATGCAATAAAAATATTTATCATTTCAGGGACCACAAACAAAAGAGAAAGAACCAAATGGATATTTCACAATGAAATTCTAAATAATGAGTAGGTCAAGGAACAAATCATAGAAACAACTACCAATTATATTAAACAACATGAAACAACACACCAAATTTTCTGGTGTACAGCTAAAGCAAAGCTCAGGAAAAACATCTTTTCCCTACAAGCATACATTAAGAAAGTAGAAAAAAAAAAGACTGATGAGCTGAATGTGCATTTCTAAAAATTAGAGAGCTAACAAATAAACCTAAAACAAAACTAATAAACCTAAAGTAAAAAAGGAGATACTAAAATTTGGAGGAGAAATGAACTAGAAATCATAAAAACTATAGAAATGATCAAAACACCTAAAAACGAATTCTTTGAAAAGATAAAATTTGGCAAACTGTTAGCCAATCTGAATAAAAAGTAGAAAATTAAATCGATAAAATAGTAAATGAGTAAGGTAAAAATCCATAATAAAGCAAAAACAGTTACAACTAATCAGAACCTATTATACACAATTATATGCTAACAAATCTGAGAACACAAAAGAAATAGAGGAATACTTTTAAAAATCCAAAGAACCAAACTAACAGACAAAATAGAGATCTTAAGTAGCCCAATTGCAAAAAAGGAAATAAAACAAATTCTATAGGAGCTACCAAAGAAGAAAAATTCTTGGAGGATTTATAGGAGAAGCCTATCAAAAATTTAAAGAACAATTAGTACCTATACATGCATAAATTATCCTGTTCTATCCTGTCTTTTCCAGCAGATTGCTGCCTCTATTACCCCTACTCTCTCACTTAGCTTTAATCTCTCCTTATCTACAGACCATATCTGTACTGCCTACAAACATGCTCATGGCTCCTTCATCCTCAAAAAACCTTCACTTTTTAAAAAAAATGTTCTTGCCTTTTTTTCTCCCCATATCATCATAGTTTTCCCCAGTATCCCTCCTTTCCCTCATATAACAAATAATATTTTTAAAGACAAAAAAAAAAGAAAAAGGAAACATTGGTATAACATCAATACATTGAAAACTTCTGAAAATATGTACAATATGCAATAATTGTATGTCATCCACCAGTTGGGGGAAAGAGCAGAGAATGTTTTCTCATACCTCTTCTCTCAAGCTATACTTGTTCCTTATGATTTCACAACATTTACTTTTGTGGTTTTTTTTAAATGTGGGTGTTCTTGACATTTTAATTGTTAAGTCATCGCGTATGTTGTTTTCTTAGCTGTACTTTACTCTGCATCATTTCAAGTAGGTCTTTCCATGCTTCTCTGTATTCATGATATAATTTCTTATTGAATGCTAATATTCCATTACAAACATGTATCATAATTTGTGTGGCCATTCTCCAGTTAATAGGCATCTACCCTATTTGCATAATTTCAAATTGCACTCCCAGTTAATTTTCTAAGGACAGACAGTTTGAAAAGTTTTCATTCTCACCCCTAAACTGATCTGTCTCTTGGTCTTTCTATCTTTCTGTCTCTTTATGTCACTGTCTTTCTAAACATCTTTTTTCCCTCTGGAGAGAGGAGTGAAAATTTTATTTTCATTTTAAATTCCTCCCTCCCTAGAAGCCTCTTGGCTGATGAGCCAGGGGAGCTGATTAAGGTAGTGTCAAAGGCAATTCTCTCTGATCCATGTTGAGGATTAGTGATTATTCAGGAATTTCCATCATCTTTGCTTGTAGCCTTGATATTCCTCGTGCTATTTTAGCTTATGGTCACCTTTTTACATTGAGAGATTCAATGTGGTCTGCAAATTTGGTATCATCCACCACATGGACTTGATTTTTAGGCCTTCAACTTAATCCTTCTAAAAGGGGGTACAGGTGGAATGGGGAAGCTGAGCAAAACCCTGGGATTTCTGGTTTTTGATAATGTCACTCCTTCAAGGAAGTGTTACATTGTTTTGTTTGACTTTTTCTATATTTCTGTTTTAGTTTGAAGGAGATCAGGATTGGCCAGTAAGATCCCTACAGTAACTTAAGTGGTAGAGGGCCCCGAATAAGACCTTAAAGACCTTACAACAAAAGAGTGGAATGTGGTGGTAGTAATATTCTAACTCAAGGTTCAGCCAACTGCAAGGGTCAAATCCTATCCATCATCTGTTCATATGGCCCTTGAGCTAATTGTTTTGACATTTTAAAATACAATAAAACTTTATTTAAAAAATGTTAAAATCATTCTTAGCTCATAGGATGTACAAAAATAGGTGGTGGGCAGCATTTGGCCTACAGCTTATAGTTTAAGTAAATCAATTATTATGAATTGTTTCATGTCTCCTTTTGTTCCAGTACTGAACCAGGGGACTAGCCTGCATCAGGCCCAATCCAGGACAGGATGAAATTCCTAAAAGAAATGGTTTGGGTGTAGCTAGGCAACACAGTGGATAGAGTGCCAGCCCTGGAGTCAGGAGGACCTGAGTTCAATTCCAGCGTGAGATACTAACTGGGCAAGTCACTTAACCTGATTGCCTCTAGGGAAAAAAAAAAAAAGAAATGGTTTGGTGAACTAGCCACCAACCACATCCTGATCCCTATTACCAACATCTATCAGGCAGTTAGCTCCTGACTTCTGGCTGAAGCCCCACATGAGTAGTATCAGGCTGTAGGCTTCCACCACCATTCTGCCATACAGACCTGGACAAAAGAACGTATGATATTCAAGAAGGAGTTTGGGACAGCATTGGTAACTATCTAGGCAAATAAGGCTCCTCATACAAATAAGAGTTCTGAGGATAATGGAAGGTGGTATTGTGTGTCTGCATCTATCTTATGTGAGCAAAGGGTGATTAGTTTTAGGATATCCTCTCCCATAAGGAGTTTTTGGTGTGATTCATAAAATATAGGATGGAAAAGAAGATGATTGACCCTTTTCTTGCCAAGATGACTACTTATAGATTTCTCAGCTCCCATAGGTCTATACCAACAAAACCCTAAAGTTCACAAAAGACTGAATAATGACCAAGACATCTGATAAGAAACTACAGTAAGCAAATTCTTCTGCTATAGAACTGTAAAAGCCCAGGAACAGTAAGAAAGGCTCTCAACTCCCAAAATAGCAAAGCCAGCACCACCACAAGGTAATTCCCCAACATAATCAGAAATGACCCAGGGATACTAGTAGCCACCAAGGCTCTGTATCCAGAGACAAGAAAGAGTGGGTTTTTCAGAGAAAAATACTGTCCTAGGCTCATGGGATCTGAAGTCTTTAACTCTCTGTTCTAAGATTCCAGAAAGATTCTTGAAGCTCTAGAGCTCAGTCTCAAAGATATAGGGAGGAACTTAATCATAGGAGTTGGAGATTAGCCTGAGAACTCAGGAGATCAAGAGTGTGCCCAAACAGGGCCAACTACCCCACCCAAAAACCCAGGGGCAGAGAAGCCCTGGCACAGAGCTAGAACATGGCTAATGTGGAAATATTTTTGCATGACTTCATATGCATAATGGATATCACATTTCTTGCCTTCTCAATGTGTTGGGGAGGGGATGAAGGGAGAGAATTTGGAACTGAAAATAAAAAATAAAATAAAAAGCTATAAAGAGCTGAGTTGTAAGCAGTACTTGACTTGCTCATAGTTAAAGTTATAGATTCCTCACCCAACACAAGATAGTATTATGGTACCAGGTCTAGATTATTAGTGGACTCTCCCCCTCTTTTAGGGCAGAAACCTATTCTAGGTCCCACTAAAAGGGATAAATTTGCCAGTAACTCAGAAAATGGAGGTCATCAAGGCACTAGGGTAGAGAGGATATGGGTTCTCCAGAACCCCAAAGTTCAATAGCCTATTATTAATAAAATTTAGTATTTATATAGTATTTAAAGGTTGAAGAGCAGTTTGCATGTCATTTGATTCTGAGAACTTGACAGATGTCATCATTATCCCCATTTTACAGATGAGGAAATTGAGGCAAAGAGCAACTGCCTACAGCAGAATGTGGGAAAGTGTTAGTAGCTTATCCCATACAGTGTCCTGAATCATTTGGGCTCTCCCCATTCACTGTCGTCCCTGCACTCAGCTACACAGGCTAGACCCAACATCTCCCTAGCTTTGTCCACTTTTTGTCCCTCATATGAGTTTTCATCTGATCTAGGGTCTGTCTCATCTGGCCAAGTCAACATGTCATCAGTGCAATGGTGGACACCAATACCCTCAGGAGAAGACTGTTTCAGATCTCTGCCTACTGGAAAGTGGTAATATAAAGGACAGTTTAGGTAGTTATGAGGAAGGATGGTGAAGGCATATTGGACTCTTTCCCAGGTGAAAACCAACTGTTTCTGACTAGTCTTAGCCACAGCAATACTGAAAAAAAAAAAGGGTTGGGAAGGTTGATAACATTCTACCACTCATCCTGGACCTAAGCTACTTGATGCAATACATTGATGTGGTCTGGAACAGCTGTAGTAATGGGAATGACAACTTGTTTAGCTGTTGTCTACTGTAAGTCACCAGGTGCCATCTGCCTTCCTCATCAGCCCTAAAGGGACTTTAGTAAAGCAAAATAATCTACCTGATCTCCACCATTAGAAAGGAAATCTCTTTGACCTGACCCCAATACCACCTGATAGCATTTCGTGCTAATGATGGAATGGTTTGAGCAACTGCAAGGGTTTCAGTTTTGCACTACCCACAATAACCGAAAAGGCCAGTACAGGTTCCTTTTCCTTTGGTCATTTTTCCATCGTGTCCAACACTTTGTGACTCCATTTGGAGTTTTCTTGGTAAAGATACTGCCATTTCCTTCTCCAGCTCCTTTTATGGATGAGGGAACTGATGCAAACAGTTTAAGTGACCTGCCAGGGTCACAGAGCTAGTGTCTAAGGCCAGATTTGAATTCAGGAAGATGAATCTTTCTGACTCCAGGCCTAGTAATCTGCTGTGCCAACTAGCTGCCCCCAGTTTAAGTGGCACCTCTCAAAAAGTGATTACCTCCTCTAATAATTGTCTGTCTGTGGAAACTGAGGTGGGCCAGTTGGCCTGTTGGCGGTTCCCTGATGAATATCTTGACTAGCAGTGTCCAGCATACTTATGTGCAAATGGAGGGGGAGAGGGTTGGGACATACCTTAGGTTCATATGGGGCTAAGGCTCCAACTGCTCCAATGTTCTGTTTCAAAGTAATTTTACTAACATATCCATAGGCACAAAATTGATCCCTTTCTTATCAACCCCATCTTTTGAGAGTTACTTCCAAATACCTCTCAGGGAGAATGCCATCCATACCCCTCTACCTACTAAATAGAACAGTGGGCCCTGTGCCTCATCTCACATTTCCAGAGCATCTATTTATAATGATAGAATTACATGCCCTTATCACTTTCCTAATGTCCCACTCAAATTTAACCCATCAAACTGCAGTACCCTGTATGATTTTTTGGTAAGTCAGATATAAGCTAAAGAATGATACCATTTTGGATGGGGCTCTGTCCAGAAGGCAGGTTCAGGTTGCCCCAATTCAGGCTGGTGATAGAATATATAAAGCTTTAGGGAGGCACATGGAACAAAGATTTAGTCTATCAATATCCTTTCCTTCAGGAATTCTAACCCCTCTACTGAAGAACTGCCCTACGCCTCATCCAGGAACTGGATGCAAATGGAAATTCATCTTTATGGGGCCAGCTATGCACTGCTCTCTATCTAAGCTAGCTAAAAATGGACAAAGCATAGCCTCCATCTTGGAGCATCTAACTAATATAAGTGGTCTGGGCAAAGTACAACTTCTGAGACCTTGCTAATCTCATGATACTCAAATGTGGATATGCAAATTAGCTGTCAAACCACACCCTCATTCTAGAATCTCATCAGGATTTAAGCTTTTCTTACAATATTCCTAGTTACTTGGTGGTGAATACATGCCCTCTCTCTGGTCTCTCTGGAATAAAAGCTTTTGCATGATTTGGGGAGAAGTAAAGTATAAGCCCACGGCTTTTTTTTTTTCACCACAGATTCCTAAGTGTTATCCTCATTTCTGTTGTCAGTCTCATGCCTTATAGCTCTCAATTCAGTTAGATGCAGAACATTTTCTAAATTTTCTAAATAAAAACTCTGGATCAAAATCTATACTTCCATAGAAGGTCTATCAGTTTTCACCTAAGCCTTGTCCTCCTCTGCCCCCATTAGTATCTTGCCGTTTGTTACTAGCTTCAGCAGTTGAATATCACCTTTTACTCTACAATCTTCAAAAACAGAGAACTCTCTCTAGCTGCTGATTGTGCTGGGCCACGAAGCTTTCTTCTGCTGGCAACTCAAAATTCTCTAAGACAGTTAACAAGGAAATGGTAGATCTGGCAATTAATTTACCCTCATTGTTAGCCTTTATCACCACTTTTCTACTCACCATGCCAAATTCTGAGTCAAGATGGCAGAGTAAGAGGAAGCAATACAGCCTAATTCCTCACTAAACATCCTCCACAAAAATCCAGAAAACACATCATACTGAATTCTGACTAGAAAAACTAAGAAAAAAATCATAGTGTATCATCTTTTCAGCCCATAGCAGCTTAGGGAAAGAGAGAGGTCTGTGGACACTAGAGATAACATATGACCAGTAGCTACTGAACAAGGAATGTTCCAGTGCCCAGGGACTAAAAGAGGGTTGAGATTGTGCATCAGGGCAGGAAGCACCAGGGCAAAAAGGGATCCCAGGGGATGCCTGACCTAGTATAGGATGTAGTAGGTGGTATTTAACAGCTCTGTTGCCCATTACTCAGTTCCAGGTGACAAATCCAGGGCAGAGAGTAGTAGCATAAAACATGGATACTAACCACATTTTGAGCAAGGACAAGTTCCAGAAGCAAAATGTAGCTATGTGGCTTTGATCTCAGGCTCAGTGTTGTAGAAGGCTTGCACTGATGGGTGTGAGGATTTAGGCCAGGCCAGGTTTTACCCTCAGCCTGTCCTTAGTCTGAAGGCCACCTAAGTCAGAACATAGGCTCTCCAAGCCCTCCCTTGCTCTGTCTTTCCCTTGAGAACAGAAGGACCTTGAAAGGTAACCAGGAAGTGAGGAGATGTTTCAGGGGGGACTCCCCCCAGTTACTGTTCCCATGAGAAAAATAATTGTTGATACTTGTGCCTTTGCTACTCTGGGTTCTGTTCCCACGAATGGGGTATAAAAGCCCTAACCCTCAGATCAATAAATGGAACTGGTTCTGGACCTGTTGCCCACCTGGCCTGCGTATCTCTTTATCTCTCTCATACTCGCCAGAAAATAAACACTGTCAGGGACACAAGTGCCTGCGACACAGTGTGGAGACTCAGTTCCAGTCTCTAGTGCAATGGGGAAGCCTGCAGTGGAAGCCAGGACAGGAATTTCCAGACCAAAAAGGATCCAAAAGTTCAGTCACTCAACTTCCAGAGCCTCCAAATAAGCTAATGCTGGCTGAGTTTAGAAGTAGTCTACTGAAACTCCCAAACAAGGGCAAGCTGACTGACTCAAACTTGGATCAGGAACTTGAAGAGTACAGATAAGAAGTCCAGAAGTAGACTGGAAGAATAAGCAAACAAATTCTATCACCAGAGACGGATCCAAGCTAGTCCCTTAGTAGTTTATCTCTAACACTGGAATCAAATAAGACACTTAGATTTTTTAAATAAGATTTTCATTATGTATTCTCTGATGATGAATAAATTCTGAGCTTTGGTGGAAGTTCTTTCATATTCGTCATATTTATAAGGCTTCCCTACATTATAAATATCCTAGTATTGAATAAAGATTGAACTCCAATAGAAGAACTTCCCACAATTATATATTTGTAAGAATTTTTTTTCTCATATGAATTTTGATGTTCAATAAGATTTTGTTATCCAGGCAGATGCTTCCATATTATTATCCTTTAGAATGTTTCACTACCATATAAATTCTCAGATGTTGATTAAATTGGGACCCAGCAAAAAGCCTTTCAACAGTCACTACATTTATACTTTTTTGCCAGTATGAATTCTTTAATGTTCAATGAACTGTGGGCTCCACAGGCTTTCCCACAATGGTTACATTTGTGGTTACATTTATAAGGCTTCTCTTCATTATGAATTCTCAGACTCTGAACTCTGATGGAAGGCCTTCCCACAATCATTACATTTAAAAGGTTTCCCTCCGTATGAATTTTTTGATATGCAGTTAGTTTAGAACTACAGCTAAAGGCCTTCCCACAATTGTTACATTTATAAGGCTCCTCTCTAGTGTGAATTCTGTGATACTGAATTAACTCTGAACTCTTCAATAAATACATGAATTTTCTGATGTATAAGGCTTCTCCCCAGTGTGAAGTCTCTGATGTCTGACAAAGTATATTCTGATGTGATCACATATCCATAACACTTAATTTCATAAGGCTGCTCTCAAAAATGGATTCTCTGATGCCAGGTTCATTCTGAATTCCAGGTAAAGGCCTTCCCACAATCACTACATTTCTAAGACTTCTCTCCAGTATGACTTCTCTGATGTTGAGCCAATTCTGAATTCTGATTATATGCCTTATCACAATTACTGCATTTGTAAGGCTTCTCTCCAGTAATTCCCTGGTGTGTGGAGTTAATTCTGAACTCCATGGGAAGGCCTTTCCATAACTATTACATTTACAGGCCTTCTCTCCAGTGTGACTACTCTAGTGAACAGTTAATTGTGAGCTCCAATGGAAGCCCTTCTCACATTCATAATATTAATAAGGTTTCTCACAGAGTGAACTTTCTGATGCAGAGTAAGATGTACTTCGATACTGAAGACCTTCCCACAATCTTTGCATTCATAAAGCTTTTCTCCAGTATGAATTCTCTGATGTCAAGTTAAATGTGAACTCCCACGAAAGGCCTTCCCACAGTCTTTAAGGCTTTTCACCAGTATGAATTCTTCAATGCCAAATTAATCCTGAACTCCAGTAGTAGGCCTTTCCACCATCATTACATTTGTAACACTTCCCTTCAGTATGAACTGTCTGATGTCAAGTTAACTCTGAATTCTGGTGGAAGGCTTTCCCACAATGGTTACATTTGTAAGGCTTTTCTCCATTATGGATTCTCAGATGTACAGTTAACTCAGAACTCAGACGGAAGGCCTTCCCACAGTCATTACATTTAAAAGGTTTCTCTCCAGTATGGATTTTTTGATGTGCAGTTAATTTAGAACTATGGCCAAAGGCCCTTCCCACAATTGTTACATTTGTAAGACTTCTCTCCAGTGTGAATTCTCTGATGTACAGTTAACTCTGAACTCTGACAGGTCTTTCCACAATCATTACATTTATAAGGCTTCTCTCCTGTGTGAATTCTGTGATGTTGAATTAACTGTGTACTCTGGTGGAAGGCCTTTCCACAATATTTACATTCATAAGGCTTCACTCCAGTATGAATTCGTTGATGTTCAATTAATTTTGAACTCCAGCAGAAGACCTTCCCACAATCACTACATTTAAAAGGCTTTTCTCCAGCATGAATCATCTGATGTTGAATTAATCCTGAACTCTGGTAGAAGGCCTTCTCACAATCTTTACATTCATAAGGCTTCACTCCAGTATGAAGTCTCTGATGTTGAGTTAATTTTGAACCCCAGCAGAAGGTGTTCTCATAATAATTACATTTGAAAGGCTTCTCTCCAGTATGAATTTTCTGACGTACAATTAACTGTGACCTCTTTTGGAAAGTCTTCCCACAACTGTAACATTTATTAGAAGGGTCCTCTCCAGTGTGAATTTTCTGATGTATAGTTAACTGTAAACTCTGGCAGAAGGCCTCCCTACAAATACAATAAGAATTTGCCGATGACCAGTTAATTGTGAACTTCTTTTCAAGGCCTTCTCACAATCTTTTATGTTCATAAGGCTTTTCTCTACCATTACTTCTCTGATGGTGGTTAATGTATTTGCTACAGGGGAATGCTGTTCCAAATATATGACATTCATAAGGCTTCTCTCTAGTATGTAGGCTCTGATGTTGGGTAGATTGTGAGCAGCACCAGGAAGCATTTTCATATTTGTTAGGCTTCTCTCCAGTACGCAGGGTCTGCTGCTGAGTAAGGTAAGAGCTAAAATGGAGAGCATTCCCACAATTATTACCTTAGTAAGAGTTCACTTTACTATGAATTATCTGATATTCAACAAGGTATGTATTGTAATCTTTATGCGTTTAAGATTTCTATGGAGATTTTCTCCAAAAGGAACTCTGTGATGAGAAATAATAGATGAATTTTGATTGCAGGCATACCATTCATAAAGTTTCTATCCAATAAATGTTCTAAAAAATTGAAAAGATCTAAATTATAAATAGAACACATTTTCATATTAATTATGTTCTACTTTAATTTGCTTAAGCCTAAATATTGTACAAAGGTTTATCAATGTTTATCAAATTTAAGAAGATATTTTCATGTATAGATATAATCTAAAGTAAATGGATTGGACTTAGCCAGAAAATTCCTTTAAATGATTTTTTTTTACTTGCCTAGAATATTTCTCTGCATTGTTATGCTGCAGTCCCTGCAATCTAGCATAATATTCCCAGGGTTCTTCCAATTTAGAGTCATGGAAACCATCCCTTCTGAATCTTTCCTGAACTGTCTTTGGTTCCAGGCCTAGTTTCCCAACCTGAAAGAAATGAAAAAGTAAATATTCCCTATTGAATCTGAAAGTAAAATAGAGTAATTCTTATCCTCTCTATATAGTAAATCCTTAATTCTCCATTAAAAAATTGCCTACATAAAATTTTTAATGTGTTACTATAAGTTCTATTCAAACTTTACATAACATTTCCTATATCTATATTTATAGTTATTTATCTTTAGTTCTCTTTCTCTACTTTATCTCTTATTAGAATTGGTATAAGGAACCTATTTATTTGGTAAGTTTATTACAGTCCCTTTCTTTCTCTGCCATTGGAAACATTTATTTACAAATTGCTTAGAAGCACTTTAAGAGCATTCAGTTAACTTGATCAGGACCAGGGTGTCTGTTAAGTTTTGCTTTTTGTCTTGTCTTTGGAAGTTCAATTTTGACTTGTTCAATTTCCTTAAAAAAGTTAAGATTTTTAACCTTTCTCAATTTTCTTTTGATTTAAATTTCTTATTTTATTAGAGATTTGTAGAAATATTTGATACCATTACCTTTAATGATCCAAACTTTGAGGAAAGGCCTTTTGTTTTATATAATTGTGTTAGTTCTCTATATCTCAGATAGCATGCCATTGTCCAAGACATTAGACACAAGTGAGGCATCATACTTTATCCTAATTGCTGATTGTTAATGTTAATGCCTTTTTCAATTTCATGAAAGTAAAATGATCTTTTAGTTTGTGATTGTTTCAGTCCGTTATGTGCATAAGATTTTTGCCCCCGCCATTACTGTGGAAGTTATTTGGTCTATATATTTCTTATTTTGTTTAAAAGTATAATCACTAAGGTTATTTTGAACTTACTGTAGTATTTTGCAGATGTTGGTCTAAAAGTAATTCTAGCTAGCCTGTTTTCTTTCAGGTGCTCCTAGCAGTTTTTGACAAATTGTTAGTTTTTCCTCAATTATTTTTGTTCTTAGGCTTATCTAACATTGGATTGTCCAGTACTGCTGCTCCTGATCTATTATTACCTAGTCTTTTTCCACTGAGATGCTTTTCTAGTTTTTAGCAAGTACGAAATGATACCTCCCAGGGTTACTGTAAGAACCAGATGAGATAATAATTGTAGAGTGCTTAGTACAGTGCCTCACACATAGCAAGTGATATATGTAAGCTATTGTTATTGTTGATTACTTCTTTCTAGCATAAGAGGAATATAAAAAGTGCTATCCTTTTCATTCCTGTTTTTTAAAAGCTTCTCTTTAGATTCTGGAATTTTTATACCTCTGTAATTTTAAAAAAAATTTTTCTTGCTCTATAAAGTATCCCACTAGTAGTTTGATAAGCAAGAGTACTATATGTCTGAATTATTATTGTCATTTTTATTCTATTGCTCTGTCAAGCCATAGGCAGTGAATATACATCAAATATTTAAACTGTTCATTTATTCAAACTGTATAAATCTTGGGAGTGCCTTTGTAGATTGACTCCCACATATTTTATTTATTTTGTAATTATTATCGGATGCCCCTTTCTACTGAAAACTTTTGGGTTTATTATTGCTGTAGAGAAGTGTTAATGATTTTGTAAGTTTGTTTTGTTACCTGCTCTTCTGTGAAGCTGCCCATCTCAGTAGTCTTTGTTGATTTTCTTGCAATTTCTATGTAAACCATCATTTTATCAGCAAATAGAAATAATTTTGACTTCTTTTTGCCTATTTTTATGCTTTTAATTTCTTTTTTTTCTTTTTTGTGAGGCAGTCGGGGTTAAGTGACTTGCCCAGAGTCACACAGCTAGTGTCAAGTGTCTGAAGCTGGATTTGAACTTAAGTTGCCCTGATTCCAAGGCTGGAACTCTATCCACTGTGCCACCTAGCTGCCCCTATGCTTTTAATTTCTTAACTCTTGTTTTATTTCTTTCACTAGCAAATAAAGCAGAGAAAGGTAGCCTTTTTTCCTCTGATTTAATGAAAAACTTTTTAGCACTTCTCACTGAATAAACTGTTTTTGGTTTTAGACATAAGACTTCTTACATTCATTCCCTGCTTGCTTTTGTGGTTTGGTTTTTTTAGGCATAGTTAGTGTTAAGGGATTGATATAATTGTGATTTGGATGTTTTTGTTTGCAGTAAGATTCATTATGTTGATTTCCAAGTAGTGAATCATCTTTGCATCCCTGGAACAAATACAACTTGGTTTTAATGAATAATTTTTTGGATATATTATCATGGTCCTTTTGCCAGGATAAAACATTTTTGACTCAATTTTCATTAGTAATATATGTCTATAATCCTCTTCCTGTATTTTATCCTTTCCTGGTTTAGGTATTGCAACTATAATTGTCTCATAAAAGGAGTTTGATAGGGTGTTGTCCTTGTTGACTTTTTTCTTAAATCATGAGTTTGATGATTATATGGAAGAATGAGAAGACATAGGAACAAATACAAATTAAGCTGGAACAGGAAAAGCTATACCGTAAACCTATTATAAATGGAAATACAACAATAACAAAACAATAATAAATTGAGCTCATTAAATTATAATTACCAAGCTTGGCTCCAAAGAAAAAAATACAAGATAGCACCTTCCCATTCTTTGTAGAGATTTTCTAGAGGTCAAACAACGGAGTTGAAATATTGCATCAAAATAAAAATGGGAAAAGGACCCACATGTATAAAAATATTTATAGCAGCTCTTTCTGTGGTAACAAAGAATTGGAAATTGAGGGGATGCCCATCAATTGGATAATGGTTAAACAAGTTGTAGCATATGAATGTAATGGAATACTATTGTGCTATAAGAAATGATGAGCAAGAGGACTTCAGAAAAACCTGGAAAGACCCGTATGGACTGATGCTGAGTGAAGTGAGCAGAACCAGGAGAACGTTGTACATAGTAATAGCCACGTAATGCGATAACTAATTTTGATAAGACTTCGCCCTTCTCAGCAATGCAAGGATCTAAGACATCTCCAAAAGTCTCATGATGGAAAAATGCTATCCACATCCAGAGAAAGAACTATGGAGTTTGAATGCAGATTGAAGCATACTATTTGCTCTTTTTTCCTTCTGTTTTGTTGTGTTTCCTCTTTCTTATGGTTCCTCCTATTGGTTCTAATTCTTTCTTACAACATGACTAATGTGAAAATATGTTTAATATGAATGTATATGTAGAGCCTATATCAGACTGTTGCATGCTGTCTTGGGGAGGGAGGTGGGGAGAGAAGGGGAGAAAAATTTAAAACTCAAAAGCTTATGGAAGTGATTGTTGAAAACTAAAAATTAATAAAAAAAAGAAATATTGCATCAAGTTTCATGTTTTCTGATGTGCAGTTTTGCTTTTAAAAATAATAAAATATATCATATACTTAAAACTGAGACAGGACGTTAATTATAACATTAAAAACTGGCTTATTTCTCAATAAAGTCAAGGCTAAAGCAAGAGTGCCTTATTTCCCTGATACTATGTTTTTGTTTGGTTGGTTTTTTTGCTAGGCAATGGGGTTAAGTGACTTGCCCAAGATGCATCCCCTTCTTCCAACTGAGACATCATATCTGGTTTCCAAACTGTAAGTCCTACTCATTGAAATGGCGAAAGGTTGAGAACAGAAGCCCCTATCTTATTCCCAATCACTATTTGGGGTAAACGGAAATGGTAGGGATGTGCAAAGGGTGGTGGAAAACTCATCTAAAGAATCCTCCACATTATTTTCCAGAAATGGATGGAGAAAAGACACAGATGATGTGCTATCACAAAAAAAAATTACATTTGACCCAAACCCCCTAAGAGAATGAAACTTTCTCATTCTCAGGCACCTGTACTAGAATTTTAGGGGAGAATCCTGAATGGACAGAGAATGGAAAGAAACAAACTCAGATATAGCACAAATAATTATCCAGTTTCATCTAAACACAGTAAGGACCTTTCACCAGGGGACTAAAGGGCAGAAGAAATCAATCTATGACACCAAGAAGATTAGCAACTGGTTTCTACATGTCAAACACTAACTCTCAAAAGTTTACCATATATAAAATATTGATTTATTAAGTGAAGTGACCAAGACTCCACTATGAAAAAATCATCATAGGAGATACTCTCCTTACCCAAGAAGACAAGGTTCCTTTAGTTCTCCAGCATCACATCCTTGTACAACTCTTTCTGGGAAGGGTCCAGGTTTTCCAACTCTTCCTGGGTAAAATCCACAGCCACATCCTTGAATGTCACCGAAATCCTTTTGGACCTCCTGGGAGTGGTAAATACGTAGAAATTTTAAAGGGTTTTTAATATTTAGGGTTCCAAGTCAAATTCATATCAAATAAAGTCTATGTATTTTTCATTATGCACAAAAACAAAACAAAGCAAAACAAGAGCAACTCATCAGCCTATTGTACACTTGATTTATGAAGTACTTTTTCCATAAAATTTCCATGAGACAGGGTAAAACTTTATTATCTTCATTTCACACATGGGAACACTGATTCTAAGAAAGGCTAAGTGACACTATCACCTCATTACAAGAGCATAAGTCATACATTTCCCTCAAATGCCCAATTTATACATTTGCTATCAATATAATTTTATAATTAAATATCCAATATTAATATCAATATTACAGATTCCCAATTAGAGGCAACAACATAATCTCTTTCTATTAATAATCAAATAAAACTTCTGTTGGATAACATTGTCCAATGCCATTTCTTCCAATTTGTACCATTTCAGGGTAATTCAAACATACTTACTACAGCACTCCCAAGATGGCATGCTTTAATATTAATAGTTGACATTTCTATGGCATTTCAGTTAATAAACTCCTTACAGACCTTTTATCATTTTAACATTGCAAAGATCCTGTGAAGTAGGTACTATGGATACTGCCTTCCCCTAGTTTGCAAATTAAAAAAGTGAGGTACAAGGACATTAAGTGACCTGAAAATGGCCAGACTGTGTTGAGAGGCAGGATTGCATACCCAGGTCTTTCTGCACTCATGCAATATTCTAACCACTTCAACATACTCTCTCCCCAAAAATTTAACTTTAAGACATCTTGAATACCATTCTTTTTTTTTTAGTTTTATTAATTTATTTTTAGGTTTCAATATTCACTTCCATAAGATTTTGAGTTCTAAATTTTCCCTGCCTCCCTTTACTCCCCAAGACAGTGTGCAATGTGATACAGGCTCTACATATACATTCATTTTAAACATATTTTCACATTCATCATGTTGTAAAGAATTAGAACCAATGGGAAGAACCACAAGAGAGAAGAAACAAACAAAAAAAGAGAGCAAATAGTATACTTCAATCTGCATTCAAACTCCATAGTTCTTTCTCTGGATGTGGATAACATTTTCCATTATGGGTCTTAGATCCTTGTGTTGCTGAGGAGAGCTAAGTCTATCAAAGTTTGTCAACACACAATGTTGCTATTACTGTGTACTATGTTTTCCTGGTTCTGCTCACTTCATTCAGCATCAGTTAATGTAAGTCGTTCCAAGCTCTTCTGAAGTCTGCCTGGTCATCATTTCTTACGAAACAATTGTATGCCATTACATTCATATACTACAACTTGTTCAGTCATTCCCCAATTGATGGGCATCCCCTCAATTTCCAATTTTTGGCCACCACAAAAAGAGCTATTGTAAATATTTTTGTACATGTGGGTCCTTTTCCCATTTTTATAATCTCTTTGGGATACAGACCTAGAAGTGGTATTGCTAGGTAAAAGGGTATGTACAGTTTTATAGCCCTTTGGGCATAATTCCAAATTGCTCTCCAGAAGAATACCATTCTTTTCAATAACATGAAAAGACATTCTCACAAGGTTATCTTTTAGTAATAAATTTAAAACAAACATTATTTGCATTACTACAATTGCCTTGAAGTTATTTTAGTTACCCTTTGGGCCTCATTTAATCACAGAAACATCTTCCTCTGCCTTTCCCACAACAAAAGCTTTTGGATTCAAGCCAATGAGGTTCACCCCTAAATTAGCTCAAAAAGAAAACAAGATTAGTATATAGAATAAAAATTCAGATAGGATTTAATCCTATATTATATTCCTTCTCTGAATGCACAGAATATTTAAGGTTGAAATGATTCATCTGGGAACTTAAAACAATATGTTGTTCTACCTTTTTGAATCTTACCTAGCTGAATGATCCTGAGCTCTTTACTTCCCCTGACAGTTTCCTCCTGTCAAATGGGGAAATACTGCTTATAGTACTTATAAATTTCCAGGATGAAAGTGCTTTGTAGAGACTGATTTAAATATTTTATATTATTGTATTATTTGTATTTTATCCCTCACAACATCCAACTCAGGACTTAGAATTAAAAGACTTGAATGAGTACACTCTATGTGAAAAGGGCTGCAGCAACATAGAAAGCACATCTTATAAAGTATAAATGGTACAGAGGGTGGCAGCATGGTATAGAGGTGGAAAAGAGCCCTGGGCATCAAAACATCTGTACAGAACCCTGGTTCTGCTACTTACAACCAGTGTGACTGGAACATCAAGCATGATATTGTGGATCAAATGCTGAAAGGGAATCTGGAAGACCTGACATGAGACTTCACCTGTTAGTAGCTATATCAGCTATAAAATAATGATAGCACCTGTTGTACCCACACACAGAGTGTTGAGGCCCAAACGTGCAGTCTGAAAATTTTTTTTAAATTTTAAAATGCTACATAAATGACAATATTACTTCTCTTACTAGGGCTGTTTCCTCATCTCTAAAATGATAAGATTGGAATACATGATGACCAACTCCAGCTTCAAATTCTTCCTTCTGAGGTTAGGATCAGAGATCTAAAAACTGTTAGTACTTCAGACACCATCTACTTCAACTCAATCAATTACAGACGAAGAGGCTAAGGGACAAGGAGATTTAATGCCTGGTTCAAACAAGACAGACCCCATTTCTTACGTTACAGGCCGAGGATTAAGAAACAAATTTTTATTCAAGAGCAAACTGAACCCACTTTGCAGCCTAGCGCTGTCAGGAATACAGGGGCCATTCCCACCCTCTTGGAGAAGGACAGAGGGCTCAGAAGGCAGAAACGGGAAAGAAAAACGACCCAAGACAGGCATTAGTCTATCTTGCCCCTCCCGCCCCACTCCCCCCGCAGACAGAGTTCACGAACCACCCAGACCCCGGGGGTTCAAGGACCGGGCACACGAGGAGCACTTGCGGCTCCAGCCCCAAACCCGCCGTGGGGGACCGCGGCGAGCCTGACCACGACGTGGCAGGCGGGTGCTCAGGCGTAGCAGAACGCGCGGCTGCGCCCAGTTCTCCTTCCCTGCAGACGCGGAGCAGCGAGAGAGGCTCAAGGGCCGGCGAGGGGCGGCCAGCCCAGGAAAGGGCCCGACCAGGCACCTGCCGAGAGAATCGCCCGGCCCCGCGCTCACAAAGACCCCCGAGACAGGGCCTGACAGCCAGCTCCACTCAGCGCACACCCTCGATCCCCGGGGGCAGCTCGGCTCGCCAGCAGCGGCAGGAGCAGAGACAGGCCGCGAGCGACGTTGGGTCGGAGGGAGGCCCGAAGGCCGGAGGAGCACCAGCTCCCGGGTCCAGGACAGGGAAGCGGGAAGAGACACAAAGCAAGTCCATGAGGCCAGGTTGCCTGAGTGACAGCAGAGCGGAACCGGAAGAGACGTCAGAGCGCCCTTCCTCCCGCCCCTTCCGGCCATTCTCCTTCCACTGTCTGGACAGCTCCAGGATGCTGCACTTTGCTGGCCTGGCACTAAATGTTGCCTGGCACCAATTATAGAGGGTCCCGCTCTACCCTGAGGGAAGCAGGGTCTCGGCGGCCGGATTTACGGAAGTAGAGTCGGAGCTTTGAAGAGGTTTGTGCGCATGCCTAGGACAAAGCAGGACTGCTGCTGGGACGTGGTGAAGTCTTTTCCGGTCGCCAGCGGGGGTCTGTTTATTAAGCCTCCTTTGGGGATAAGGCCGTGTGCCAGACCCTGGGCACACCAAGACCACACCGAAAACCCTGTCTCCATCCAAAGAGCTTCCAGGATGGGGCTGGTGCTCTCTATCCTCGAATCCATGGATCCCCAGCTTCCTTCCCTGCTCAGTTGAAGTCCCTCCTCCCACGTGGGGTCTTTCCCGCTCCCACCCCAGACCTGACCACGTGGTTGCCTCGTATGTTGTCAGGGGCAACAGACCATTGTTTTGTATTTCTATCACCGAGAACAGGTTCTTTTTTTTGTACTTTTTTTTAAAGCACGTATACTTTATTCCTTTTTTTTTTTTTACAATTTCAAATTTTCTCCTTTCTCTTGTCCCTCCCCAAACCATTGAGAGGGCAAGAAAAACAAAACCCGTTACAAATATGTATGGTCATGCAAAACAGATTTCCATATTAGACATGTGCACATACATAAACAGTGAAAAAGAGAAGAAAATATGCTTCAGTCTACCCATTCCTTCTCCTGTTTCACCATGAGTCCTTTGAAATTATGGTTAGTCATGTGTGGGATGCCACTCAAATTAAAAAATAAAACACAGAGGTGTCCAAGGAGAAAGAGAAAGTTAATTTATTAGTTATAATTATTATTATTATTTCAAATCTCATGATTTGGGTGTCCTTCCACCAGAATGCTCTGATGAAAGGAGACAACCTGAAGAAGTGGAAGTCAGTTTATATAACCCTAAAGGTTCAATTCCCACTTCCTCCCCCAACTGTCCCTTAATTCGGCTCACAATCTCACAGGGGGGACTCTAGCATAAGATAAAGCACATAGCATACATCTCTAGATTTCTTAGTTTGTTGAGATAACATCAAAGAAGCAATGAAAAATGTGCAGTTAGGCTAGACTTTGTACTGTGGAACCAGTTTACCATAAAAGATACTTTACAATTGTTTTGGAAGGTCTTAGGGATTGAACAGACAATGCTGGGAACTGGAAGACATCTGAGTAAGATCCTGTCAAAGGGAGGTAAGGAGTAGATAAGGAACCTTTTAAGGGTTTTCTGGAGCCAGATTCTTTTAGGGGCAAAGACGAATTTGAATAAGATTAAAAAGTAGGTTAAGGCTTAATCACTAGACAAATTTTAACTACTGATATTTGTCACTAAAAAAAAATAACTCACAGAAATCTATTCTTAACCCTATCCTACCTTCTGAACTCATTACCTTAATTACACTAAGAAGTCTTCACTGGGACATCCCATTCAGTCATGATCAAAGTTACTATGTCTTTCAGAGTTGATTATCTCTACAATATTATTTTTACATAAATTGTTGCCCTGGTTAAGCTCATTTTACTTTGCATCAGTTTATACAGATTCCCAAGGTTTTTCTGAAACCATCTCCTCATCTTCTCTTAATGGCACGATTTTTTGCCATCAAATTCATATACCACAACTTGTTCAGCCACTCCCTAACTCCGCTTTCAATTCTTTGCTACCACAAAAAGGGCTGCTATAAATATTTTTGTATTGTGGTAAGAGGATTTTTATGTATTTGCTTTATGACCATCATTGCAGTAAAACAGCTTGTCACATCAACTAGCTAGGGTCTGCAAAATGAAACTGAGGCATCAATTACAACCCTCCTGCTATCTGGTTAGTTATTGCTCTGCCCGTCTACAAATTCCAGTTTTATCCCCTAGTATTTGCCAATCTATTTTTTTGCCTAATGCAGATCTTCCCCTTCTGCTATTTCTTTTTTGATGTACAAATCTTTACCTTCCTGTTTATTCTCTGTAAAATTCTAATTTTTGCTATCCTGACTTGTAGCTAAAACCTTTAAAACGTTGCTGAAAATGTCATTTGAGGCCCATTGATTATTGTTTCCATTGGAACTGCTGTAAGCATATAATAAACCCGTTATTAAAATGTCCCTTCATGTTGATAAGTACAGATGGCAGCAGTACCTATAAATGAATCCTTGAACAAATTTATACCAATTTGGTGGTCCACAAAGAGACAGGAATACGTCTTCCAGCCCAGACACCACACAGCACACATGATAAAATCTGCCTAGAGAAACTTCCGAGCAGGAAAACTCAACTATAGATAAAGTTACTATTTCTTCTAGAAAATCACAAGACAAGTTAGTGGTCTGTATTGTCTGTATTTATCTCTTGAATAATCACATAAACTATTGAATTTTAGAGTGCTTATACTGGAAGCCTCATGATCTCTCTGATGAGCATGGTGTCAGAAGGAGTCAGAAGCCAGGGCTGGGCTGAGAAACTTTGGGGTCTTAAATAGAAGAGCCTCCACTATCCCTTCTTTTTATGGTTGGATGCTTGGTCTAAGACTAAGACTAGGTATTTTCCAAACTCTGTTCCCTTTCATCTTGTTTTCCCTAAGTCAAATAAGCAAGAAAATGTTCTTTCATTTGCCATTACTGTACTGTCATGGTTACCCTCCCTGTCTACATTCATAGATAGTCTTGACCTGTTCTGATTAAAAACTGACATACCTCTGCTTTGGGTGCTCAGCAGTGAATTTTGAGATCTCTTATGGTCTGGTTTGGCTAAAGAATACAAATCTGACATAAACCTCAACTCTACAATGGGCAGTCAGAAATCTTTTTTTTTTTTGGTGTCTCTCTCAGGTTGACTTGTCTGCTGTTTGTGATTATTTCACTGTCTTGGTTAATCAGTAGTATCAAATGCAGCTGACTACTAACTGACTGAAACTGACCTTGTCCCTGTTCTCAGAAGGATCAGTAGGCTGAGGGTGACCTCTGTTTTGCAAATACTTAACTCTCCCCTCTGAAGAAGAAATTGGTAAGATGAACATGAATATAATCGGGAAGTGGGGGAGGCGAGAGGAGAAGTACATATATTATGTACATATATGACCAAACATGGGGACTGTGTTTAGAGAATGTTTCTGCGTTGGCTTTATGACCATTTTATTGTGATAGCTAATCACATTAACCAGTTCAAATCTGCAAAATCCATCTGAGACAGTCTGCCTACTATTTCTTTTTAAAATTTTCTTTAAGATTCATTAATTTATTTTTAGTTTTCAACATTCACTTCCACAAGATTTTTAGTTCCAAATTTTCTCCCCATCTCATCTCTCCCCCAACCCCAAGGCAGCATGCATTCTACCCTTTCCCCTAATCTGCCCTCCCTTCTATCTCCTTCCCCCTGCCCCTGCGCCTCTCTTATCCCTTTCCTCTTCTGTTATCCTGTAGGGCAGGATAGATTTCTATACCCCATTACCTGTATATCTTATTTCTCAGTTGCATGTGAAAACAATTTTTTAACATTTGTTTTTAAAACTTTGGGTTCCAAATTTTCTCCCTTCCTCCCTCACCCATCCTCATTAAGAAGGCAAGCAACTCAATACACGTTATACATGTGTAGTCATGCAAAACACTTTCATAATAATCATGCTGCAGAAAACTATATTTCCCTTCATTCTATTCCACCCTCTGTTTATTCTAGTCTCTCTTTTGACCCTGTCCCTCCTTAGAAGTGTTCACTTCTGATTACCCCCCAATCTGCCCTCCCTTCTATCATCTCCCCCTCTTATTCCCTTCCCCCCA